GACCATTCCACCCTCCAGCACCTCCGAGCCGATTCCCATGGAGCTCGGGGGTGCTGGCGCTAGAGAGAGGAGGAGAGAGAACCCGAGGGGGGCCACCCCCTGCACCAACTGTGGCCGTGGAGGACACACCGCGGCCAGGTGCTGGGGAGGGTCTCCTGGGAGAGGGGACAACAGGTCACACACTGGGGAGTCATTTCAGGTGAGTAGGCGCCCCACTTACCCAGAGCTTTCTGTTGGTCACATGAGTATTCCTGTGAGATTTCCACAGGTGGCACCTCATTCCCAGCATAAGGCGCTAGTAGATTCAGGCGCAGCTGGGAATTTTATTGATCGGGCATTTTGTTATAGGTTTGGAATTCCCCTTCGGCCGGTAGAAGCCCCCTTTCCTGTCCACGCCTTAGACAGCCGGCCGTTGGGGTCGGGGCTGATCAGAGAAGTCACAGCACCACTTACTATGACGACGCAGGGGGGTCATGAGGAGATCATTCAGTTTTATCTGATTGACTCTCCTGCGTACCCCGTGGTGTTGGGGCTTCCCTGGTTACGCACCCATGATCCTACCATTGCGTGGCAACAGAGGGCTCTTATGGAGTGGTCTAGTGTGTAGGGAGATGTCTAGGTGTTTCCTTAGGGGCAACCTCGGTTGAGAGTCCGAACCAAGTGCCCGCAATGCGCATTCCCCCTGAGTATGAGGACTTAGCACTCGTGTTCAGCAAGACGAGGGCAACACGGCTACCACCTCATAGACAGGGGGACTGTGCGATAAATCTCCAAACAGGAGCGGCTCTTCCACGGAGCCGTGTGTATCCCCTGTCTCAAGAGGAGACAGCGGCTATGGAGACTTACATAGCCGAGTCCTTGGCACAGGGATACATACGGTCCTCCACTTCCCCGGTTTCCTTGAGTTTCTTCTTTGTGAAGAAGAAGGACGGGGGTTTGCGCCCGTGTATTGATTACCGTAGTCTCAATCAGATCACGGTTAAGTACAGTTACCCTCTTCCACTGATTGCGACTATGACGGAGTCATTACGCGGAGCGCAGTTCTTCACAAAGTTGGATCTCAGGAGCGCGTACAATCTGGTGCGCATTAGGGAGGGGGATGAATGGAAAACGGAATTTAGTACCACCTCGGGTCATTACGAGTATCTCGTCATGCCATACGGGCTAATGAATGCTCCTTCAGTCTTCCAATCCTTTGTTGACGAGATTTTCCGGGACATGCATGGGCAGGGTGTGGTAGTGTACATCGACGACATCCTAGTGTACTCTTCTACACGAGCTGAGCATGTAGCCCTGGTGCGCCGAGTGTTGAGAAGACTGTTGGAGCATGACTTGTATGTCAAGGCAGAGAAATGCCTGTTCTTCCAGGAGTTTGTCTCCTTTTTGGGTTATCGGTTGTCCGCGTCTGGTGTGGAGATAGAGGTAGATCGTGTGTCGGCCGTGCGTAATTGGCAAACTCCAACCACTGTAAAAGAGGTGCAGCAGTTCTTGGGTTTTGCTAATTACTACCGGAGGTTTATTCGGGGCTTTGGACAGGTTGCAGCGCCCATTACGTCCCTGTTAAAGGGGGGTCCGGTTCGTCTGCAGTGGTCAGCTGAGGCGGACAGGGCATTTGTCAAACTGAAGAACCTGTTCACCTCGGCCCCGGTGCTGGCGCATCCGGATCCCTCTTTACCATTCCAAGTAGAGGTAGACGCGTCCGAGACCGGTATTGGGGCAGTCCTGTCACAACGGTCCGGCACGCCACCTAAGCTCCGCCCCTGTGCGTTCTACTCTAAGAAACTCAGCTCGGCGGAGCGCAATTATGACGTTGGGGACAGGGAGCTGTTAGCTGTAGTCCAGGCCCTAAAGGTGTGGAGGCATTGGCTTGAGGGGGCTCAACACCCTTTCCTCATTCTGACCGATCACCGTAACCTGGAGTACATCCGGGCAGCTAGGAGATTGAACCCTCGTCAGGCTAGGTGGAACATGTTCCTGACCCGGTTTGTTTTTAAGATCACATACATCCCAGGGTCCCAGAACGGTAAGGCAGACGCCCTGTCCCGGCGGTATGACACAGAGGAGAGGTCCATTGAGCCCACTTCCATACTGCCGGAGTCTTGTCTGGTGGCTCCGGCGGTATGGGAGGTCGATACGGAAATCGAGCGGGCACTGCGTGCCGACCCTACTCCCCCCGAGTGTCCTGTGGGGCGGAAGTATGTTCCGCTCGAGGTTTGTGATCGTCTTATTTATTGGGCTCATACATCACCCTCCTCTGGACATCCAGGTATTGGCCGGACAGTGCACTGCCTTAGCGTGAAATACTGGTGGCCAACGTTAGCTAAGGATGTGAGGGTTTATGTCTCCTCCTGCTCGGTGTGCGCCCAGTGTAAGGCGCCTAGACATTTGCCCAGGGGTAAGTTACATCCCCTGCCCGTTCCACAACGACCATGGTCCCACCTCTCGGTGGATTTTGTGACCGACCTACCCCCTTCCCAGGGGAATACCACCATTTTGGTCGTTGTGGATCGGTTTTCCAAGGCCTGTCGTCTCCTCCCAATGCCGGGTCTCCCTACTGCCCTACAGACCGCCGAGGCCCTATTTACCCACGTGTTCCGGCACTATGGGGTCCCCGAGGATATTGTGTCTGACCGAGGTCCCCAGTTTACCTCCAGAGTCTGGGGGGCGTTCATGGAACGCTTGGGGGTCTCGGTGAGCCTTAACTCGGGGTACCACCCAGAGAGCAATGGGCAGGTTGAACGAGTCAACCAGGATGTGGGTAGGTTTTTGAGGTCCTATTGCCGGGACCGGCCGGAGGAGTGGTCCAGGTATAACCCCTGGGCCGAGATGGCCCAGAACTCTCTCCGCCACTCCTCCACCGGTTTAACACCTTTCCAGTGTGTTTTAGGGTATCAGCCGGTCCTGGCACCGTGGCACGAGAGCCAGATCGAGGCCCCTGCGGTGGACGAGTGGATTCGGCGCTCGGAGGAGACGTGGGACGCTGCCCATGTCCATCTGCAGCGGGCCATCCGTCAACAAAAGGCGAGCGCCGATCGCCACCGCAGTGAGGGACCGGTGTACGCACCGGGAGATCGAGTCTGGCTCTCGACTCGAAACCTGCCCCTCCGCCTGCCCTGCCGGAAGCTGGGTCGGCTGTTTGTGGGGCCCTTCAAAGTCCTGAGAAGATTGAACGAGGTGTGTTACAGGTTACAACTGCCTATTGAATACAAAAATATTAACCCCTCGTTCCATGTGTCTCTTCTCAGGCCGGTGGTAGCTGGCCCACTCCAAGAAGATGAGATAGGAGAGACCCCTCCGCCCCCTTTGGACATCGAGGGGGCCCCGGCGTACAGGGTCCGGACCATCTTGGACTCGAGGCGCCGGATGAGTGGTCTCCAGTATCTCGTGGAGTGGGAGGGGTACGGTCCGGAGGAACGGTGCTGGGTGCCTAGGAGGGACATCCTCGATCCATCCCTCCTGACTGAGTTATACAGAAGATAGCCCTATTTGGTAAAATACCAAGTCCATATTATGACAAGAACAGCTCAAATAAGCAAAGAGAAACGACAGTCCATCATTACTTTAAGACAAGTCAATACAGTCAATACAGAACATTTCAAGAACTTTGAAAGTTTCTTCAAGTGCAGTCGCAAAAACCATCAAGCGCTATGATGAAACTGGCTTTCATGAGGACCGCCACAGGAATGGAAGACCCAGAGTTACCTCTGCTGCAGAGGATAAGTTCATTAGAGTTACCAGCCTCAGAAATTGCAGCCCAAATAAATGCTTCACAGAGTTCAAGTAACAGACACATCTCAACATCAACTGTTCAGAGAGGACTGTGTGAATCAGGCCTTCATGGTCGAATTACTGCAAAGAAACCACTACTAAAGGACACCAATAAGAAGGGTGGCTATTTGAAGAATCTCAAATATAAAATATATTTTGATGTGTTATTTCATAGTTTTGATGGCTTCACTATTATTCTACAATGTAAAAAAAATAGTAAAAATGAAGAAAAACGCTTGAATAAGTAGGTGTGTCCAAACTTTTGACTGGTAGTGTATATTTAAATATAAGTAAATATATGTCATATAAATACAGTTTGACAAGGTACTGTGACCATCCATAAAACAAATATCAGTAAATGTATGGTATATAGACACATTTTGCTTTCAACTGACAAATGTATTCCAATATATTTAATCATCATATATCTTTAAACTATTGGAATATATTATGTGTAAGTAAGCTGGTTAAAATACAAAACTAACAAAACAATGACTAGGTATTTTGGAGTTATCAATAATCATTCATTTCTGCTTTGGAAGCAGATCTTTGCAATTTATTGGTGTCCAAAAGCTGCCCCTTGATGGCACCTGGGAATCGTATTATCACAGCCTCTGAAAAACAAACATAAGATATTAGTTACAATTATGTGTGTGTGTGTCTTCTAACCTCTCTCTCTCTCTCTCTCTCTCTCTCTCTCTCTCTCTCTCTCTCTCTCTCTCTCTCTCTCTCTCTCTCTCTCTCTCTCTCTCTCTCTCTCACACACACACACACTTTTAGGGTGTATGTTGGTTATTTGTTCTGATAGGGCTCTACAATGAGAGATGAGCAATTGAAAATGGAAAATGTGTGGGACTAACTTTCAGAAATGAGTGAAATCATTACATGTTTGGTTGTCTCTTTAAGAGCTATAAAGATAACGTTTTTAAGTAATAGTAAGATGATTCCTTAACCTTCAAGTAGCCTATGAGCCAGTAGAAATAATCCATGTTTGGGATTTGTTTATGGGAGCAAATGGAGGATACACCATAAATGTAATTGAGATACTTGGTTTTACATGAATCGCTCTGCTGCAGCTGGTCCTCCTGCACAGATCTTTTGCAGCCTCATCTGCCTCAAATTACAAGCAGTAAAACACCCCCTCAACAATTGGGCCAAACTTTAGACCTATAAACCCTCCACCGCCAAGTCTCATTCCATAATTCTGCTTCTCTGCAATATAGCCTATCACCATGGATGTTTCCCAGGAGCACGTTTCTTTGACCGGGCACCCTAATCTCTTCCAGCACTTTAATAATAAGAGAATAGCCACCGACAACGCAGTAGACCAGATGTATCAACGGACATTTCGCCTCGACATTGAGAAAACTTCGAGGGCTCTTTACGTTGTCGGCACAGTGTTGAAAGTGAACCTGATCAGGTAAGCGTGTCAATGCTACCCCATCCAGATAGAATTGTCTCTTAAGACAACTGTAGCCCAGTTGGTAGAGCATGGCGCTTGCAACGCCAGAGTTGTGGGTTCGTTTCCCACGGGGGGCCAGTATGAAAATGTATGCATTCACTAACTGTAAATCGCTCTGGATAAGAGCGTCTGCTAAATGACGAAAATGTATGACTGTAGTAGCTGGGTAGCCCTATTATTGTTAGCTAGTGTAGGCGACAATTTATTTGACATTAAACACACTGCTGTAATCTATTTTTAAACTCTGCATTGTTGGGAAGGGCTGGTAAGCAAGCATTTCACAGTAAAGTCTACACCAGTTGTATTCGGCGCATGTGACACATACAATTTGACACATACATGGATTATCTCCAGTAGCCCAGTTTGTCCCCGGTTTCCTAGTTTTGACTAGCACGTGAACGCTGCATAAGTCTATTTTGCTTTATTTTTTGCGTTTCCGAAATTGTAGGCTATAGGGCCATGCTACTCTGTAATTAAAGGTGCACTTTGCGGAACTCGCTCCGCCATTTCCTGGTTGATAAAATTACACCCCCATACAAAAAAATTATAACAGTGATATGTATTTTCGTCATGCAAAATGTACTCGGAACATTCGTAATTTTTTTTCTCAATGCATTTATTGCTTTGAAATTTTAAATGACAGTTATAAGAAAAACAATATATAAATCTCACACATAGGTATGAATTATTTTCTAATTGCATTTAGTGTTAGTCAACCTTATGACTACTTTGTTTCTTGTATCTACTGTAGATAATAATTGCCAGCTCATTTTGAAATTAAAATTGAGATGGTGTAGACTATTGTAGGTTTATAATTTGTGATCTACAAGTTTTGAAAACACACAAATCTAAGTATGAATGTGGCTGCCCATAAGGTTATAGAATCACATTGTATTTATAAAACATGGTTTAGATATTGTGTTAATCAATGACTGTATAGGTTGTAAATCACTATTTTGTGCTGAGTCCTACAAGGATATCCATTGGGAATTGTTAATGCCTGTTACCACCGCGGTTTGCGTCTCCCCTCCCCTCATCAACACTCGAAGAAGCACATTATCTATAGAAAATGTTAGTCGACATGGTTATTGGAGTGTTACTTAACTTTTATGTTGAAACTGTGAAGGTTATATGTGTAAATTGATAGTGTGTAACTGTTAGCGATCTTGACATAGAGATGATTGGGTTTGCGGCTAAGCAAGGCTAGCCCATAGAATAACACAATAAAAAATTAAAGTCTACAAAACTTAGTCCACTCTATAATGTATTAGCTATATGACTATTTTAAATACAGAGGATGTAGCATTGTACAGCTAAGCCAGAGTCATCTTCAGACCTAACTCAAATTTAAATATCTTGCTGTGCCATTATGACTTTGGATAATTATTTGAAAAAAAAAGATGGATTAGATCCTGAAAAAGGGACCACAGTAATTAGTGAGTAGGTTTTTGTTAATCGATTGCAAATGAGCATTTGAAAGTGTGCGGGTGTCGTCATGATATTGTTTTAAAAATAATGACTTATAAATGACTCATGGCAGAAAGAATGGTGAATATTATTCCAGACACTGACATGTTTTAAATACTGAGTGATTTTGAGATTTAGGTTGTTTTTTTACTTACCCAGTCAGACGAACTCATGGGAAAAAAATTGTATGTCTTTGCGGGCAGTTTGGAGATTATTGAAGTTAGCATGTCGTTAGGTTAGCGCAGCTCCTCTCAAAAACAGGGAAATATACTTTTCACATAAAGGATTTTCCTATTTTTTTTTAATGACCCCAACCCCTTACTGTTTTATGTTTAAAAAAAAATATTTAACCTTTATTTAACCAGGTAAGACCCATTGAGGTAAAAACCTATTTTGTGAGGGCGACCTGGCAAGAAGGCAAAACAGGGAAATAGCAGCGTGTACAAAAATGTGTACAAAAGAAATACAAATACACACAAATTACATGTGCTCTTTGTCTTATGTTTGTTGCTTTCCCCCCAAAGATGCTGTCATAAAGCACTTCCCGGGTGCAACAAAGTGGGAACGACTTAAAACAGTAAAATGGCTGAATTGAGAAGCGATGAGAGAAAAAAAAATGTAATAGGATTAAGTTTAGTGTTTTGTGTCGTTTGTTCTAACGTTTTATTACCAGGACTACAAGTATCACTGAAATAATGCTCCCGTAACATATGCTAACACATATTGTGACATATATGTAATAAACATTTGAATACTCTGTGTCACACATACAGTATATGAACATATTACATTTACATTTTAGTCATTTAGCAGACGCTCGTATCCAGAGCGACTTACAGTTAGTGAATGCATACATTTTCATACTGGCCCCCCGTGGGAAACGAACCCACAACCCTGGCGTTGCAAGCGCCATGCTCTACCAACTGAGCTAGAGGGGACTACATATAAGTATTTTATATGTGTGTGTGTGTGTGTGTGTGTAAGGCAGAAATATGTCACATATAAAAACTGACAGTTCTTGTATATGTCAACATATGTGACATACTGTATGTACTTATTTGTGTGGATACATGCAGTATATAAGCATATATGGGCATATGTTTCCACCATATATGCCCATATAAAACATAATTTATATTGCCATATTACTTTCCCATATGGGTAGTGTAGAGAATCATTGTACCATCTAAACAGCTGTGAAATATATTTTCCATAACCAAGAATACTGTATTTTCAGCTGTTTTGAAGCTGGTGAACAAAGATCTACGGCTTCTTAGACTTGCTTTCAATGAGAATGACAGATCTATAACTCATATTTCTATGTCAATTTGTTCTGGTCTCCCAAAAAGTTACATATTGCAGAATTAAGATACAATCAAAGACAGTACAGTATGAATATGGGGTAAAATTGCTTCTCCAATAGAAATCCCCGATCACACTTGTAGGCGATGTCATGGCGACGTTGGCTGGATTTACATTGTACATTTACGTCATTTAGCAGACGCTCTTATCCAGAGCGACTTACAAATTGGTGCATTCACCTTATGATAGCCAGTGGGACAACCACTTTACAATGTTTTTTATTTTTATTTTTTATTATTATTATTAGATAGATATAGATAAACTCATGCGTAGAAACACGTCATCGGGTCTAACGGTCGTCTCGCGCCGAACTGCGCATGTGCAGGCCATCAAAGGCACTCCTTCGCTATAAAGTTGTTTTTGACGAAAATAAACACATTTCAGTTTGTCACTTTCACAAGGTTTGAGTAATAGCATGTTCAACTAGTTCAGACATTGTCTGAAATCTAGGTTGTGCCTTTTTAGATATTGGGATAATTAACAACTAAGGAAAGATTTCACTTCTCATTGACTTCTCAAACCCCGGCGTGGTCTGTTTGGTCTGTTTCGCAAGCTTTCCCGGAAGTCTTGCGATGTTGCGCCTCTAGGTTTAGAAACTATGTGATACAATGTTGTGCCACATGTTTCCATTGCCGATTCTGTATGGGGCTGGTTGCGTGCAGTACAGTAACTAAGCCAGACTGGACCAGCCTTGATTTCAACGTCCACAGACATCCAGTCCAGACTAAATCTGAACCAAACTTGTTTCACAAGTGTAGACAGTAGAGCACAGTAATGTACAGTGAAGTACAGTACAATCTAGTATAGTACAGTAAAGTACAGGATATGTACTATATTGTACTGTACCCTACTGTATTTTACTGTACTGTACTCTTCTGTACTGAACTAAACTACTGTGCTCTAATGTACTGTGCTGTACTGTGCTGTCCAAACTTTGAAACCTAGACGTATATGATTGGTTCAAATTTGGTCCGGACCAACGAAATATGGGGTTTGCTGGGGGCGGAGCTCATTAGAATAATACCCAGAATGCTTTGCAAGTGTTCATTTTGGCATTTTATATTTTGTAGTGTAGAGCAACTAGTGCTTTTTGAGGTCTGTTCAGTTTTTGAAAAATAATCACGGTTTTTAATTTCGGTTTAGATTTTTTTTAAAACAATAAATGCATTATGTGGGTTCAATGCTGTAACAACACAAAATAAAACAATTAATGGTAGTGACTGCCCCTTACTATCACTTATTAGGCACTAACCATCATTTATTCACATGACTTTACTTAAATCAAATATTTAAGTAAAGTATATTACATTTGTTTTTAGTATGTTAATGATTACTTTATTTTATTAATAAAACCCCAATGATGGCCTATTAACGCATATGACCTATTAATAAACCATCCTTTATTCACATTACTTTTAGAGAAAGGAGGAGATAGGAATCCCATTGGGCAGTGAATGGAAGAACGTTTAGAGTACCACAGTATGAGTCATAATACCCATAAAACCTAGCGGCCAAACAAGGAAATGGTTTCAATAGTTTTTCCACCATTCATTTTTCCCATAGGGGATTTTAGACACACTTAAAATAAGGGCTGTGTTTTATGTGGGTTTACCCTGGCGTGACGTTTTGATAACCGTGTAAATCTCTCTACGACAAGGTGCCTTATCAATATATTTGCCTGTAAATACCCCCCTAAAATGAAACGCTAATTAGCTGCTAATGTGGCTATCATAAAGAAGTACAAGTGCCATGATGATCTGGACGAGACTGACGAATTGTAGCAAAGGTAAGAATCTCTGGATTAACTATCAAATGTTAGCTAAATTTAGTAATGAATAAATTGGCTACATTTCTTTAAATTGACAATTCTGTGAACTGTTTTTAAATTGACACTATACCTGTTAGTAAAGGTGTCAGCTAGAGATAAGGTGCAGGAGCTTGCAGGGATTTGTAGTCTTCCATGATGTCTACTTTGATGCTAATTTGCATTTTTCGAAACTGAGAGTAAATAGAGCCGACTATATTGATAAAAGGCACCTTGTCCGAGAGAGATTTACATGTTTATCAAAAAATCACGCCAGGGTAAGCTTACATGAAACACAGCCCTTGTTTTAAGTGTTACTAAAATTCCCTATGAGGAAAATAATAATAATAATAACAATAATAATAATATGCCATTTAGCAGACGCTTTTATCCAAAGCGACTTACAGTCATGTGTGCATCATACATTTTTGTGTATGGGTGGTCAAACCCACTACCCTGGCATTATAAGCGCCGTGCTCTACCAGCTGAGTTACAGAATGGCAGAAAAATGATTGGAACCAGTTCCCTGTTTGGCTGCTAGGTTTTATGGGTTTTATGACACCTCCACTGTGGGGCTCTATAACGCCCCACCCAACAGACTGTCGACCAATCGCGTTCACGTTGTAATGCTGCGTCATGCAGTTGCTAAGCTAATCGTCACGCAATCCCTTCTCAAAGTCAGGGTATGAGTCGAGAAACCTGCCTACATAATGTCATGATTCCAAAGCTAGATGATATTACAGAGAATAAGTTAATTATCTCACGTCTCGGAAAATATTTGTAATGTTGTGCTTCTTGTTGACGAAATTCATGCTAATGTTGGGTTTTTGTGCTAGCGCCCGATTGACTCCCATTCATTCCTTGAAGGAGAGCTCTTGTCCAAGAATCGCCCAGAATGCATTGCGCGGCCCATTAACGACGCGTGGGCAACATACACAATTGGCGTTAGTACAATTCCAATGGAGTTTCCCATCTCCTCAAAAGTATCTCTGTCTGTGCCAGCAGCATGCAATTACTTCCTGCCAATACTGTATAACCACAGATAGAACAATGAGACAGATATTTCACCGGATGTGTAAATGTGAAGCATCCGCTTGGCGTTTCCACTCACTACCAAATATGGTAGTGAGTAGGACGCAAAGAGTCAGGCAGTGGGAGAAAATGGAACAAGATGGATTTTGGCCGACATCCTGCTAATTTTCTCATCGTTTAAACATTTGATCTCAATACAGTTTTCTGTTCTCAAAACTAGAATCTGTTACGAACAGAGTGGACTTAGGTTTGTAGACTTTACCCTTTGGTAAAGTTGTAAAAAAATGCATTGTTTAGAAGGAGTGCAAAGGCAAATTTAGTTATTGTGTACTTCACAGAGTAGGCGTTCCCTAAAGGAAATATGTCTGCTACAACGCACCAACAGGATCTCGCTAGCTTGTGCTTGGCTCTGCCCACCTCCTTGCTTGTTCTGCCCACTATGACTCATTTGTTCCCATCTTGGTTTAGTTATAAAGATATTTTGTATAATAGAGTGAAGGAGTAGCAGCAAGCAAGCCACTGTCGCAAGGTCATCACTACTATAGACAATTTGTCTCATGTAAAGTGGTGGTGCCATTATTTAAATTTCATTAGCCTAAGAAGTTCAATCAAATGTCAAATGATAATATATTTTCAAATGACTAATTAGGCTACATGATCAACTGACTATTTTGTTGTCATACTTTTGGGATATTCCAATTGCATAAATAGTTGGATAATTCCCTCAAATTGGACTGAAAGGACTGTTTGTGGATGGCATTTGTATTCAGCGGAGGAGTCAGACCACATGTTCTTAACGGAGGGAGTCTGCATCAGTGATATCTTTCTGCTAGTCAACAGACTATTTTGTTATCCTTACAAGCTGCCAATTCATATGACACCAGCCTTGCCAATCGAGGGCAAAGATACAGTGCAAGTGAATTAGACGGGTTATGAGAAATTATGGCCTATGATTTCGAAGTTAACATGATAGAAAAGAGTGGTAAGCCCAACACAAACCACCAACCTGAAGAAAGAAACATATCGTAGGGAATTCTGACTGGGATTTGAACCCAGATCCAGCGACTGTGAAGCCAACACATTAACCGTTACGCCAAGAGGTCTGAACTGATGAGCTCGCTAGGTGTTGAGTTAAGGTCGCTACAATATTGTGGGCCTGTCGTGCCTCTGAGGCTGTGGTTAGTTTATCTGAGACTCCACAAGATATTATTACACAGCAGATACAGATGGTTTCATAACATTGGTGTGTGTAAAAATTAAATGCTACCTCTAAAGGGGCATTTCTCTTTGTGGTATTGTTTAGAGTAGCTTAGACTCTGTTGTTCTGGTAAATACTATCCTTTCGCGAAAAACTCTATGTTCCTTTGGCGTGGACCACCTCCCTGGTCCAGCCTGAAGCCCTGGACTTCAGGTGCTAGCTTTTACAGCCCAAGCTTCATGTTTATAAACAGGTGTCATACTTAGTATAAACAACTTGAGATGTTGTTTGATACATTTATATATACTGTAAGTACATCCTCATTGCCAGTATTCTTGTGAAATTATACTAGTGTAGGTTGATAGTCCAGTATTTCTCCCACTTTGTTACATGACTCATTTTAGAAGGATGTAGAAGACATCATACCTCTACGATGACTGTAGCAATGTAACTTTAGAACAAGCACTTCCACCCGTTGCTTCTGGAAATAGGAGATTATGAACTGTACTCACTCCTGGTGGTCCACTGCACTATAGGTACAGTATATTATCTTGTGTTGTCTCTGTTATTGCTATAGATTTGTGTAATCAAAGCATCAGGATGTGATGTGTAACTGTCACATGTATTTGTTTTTCCCCTAGGAGTGCCCCTCCCAGCTCCAAGTACTTCTCTGTGAAATGCAGCCCCAGTGTGCAGTACTGGATCACCCCACCCCCAGCGAAGAGTGGGCCAATCCCCGCCCCTTTCAATGGGAATACAGTGCTTCTTATCACCATGGACACTGCCAGCGAAGTGGAAAATGATAGCAAGGTGAAGTAGGCCACAAGCACAGCCATGATAGCTACCCTGAGACGTCAGTATGTGAAATCATATTCAAAGAATCCAGAGTTGACTGTTCCCTCTTGTGACTGAACACGCTGCAGGGAAGTTTGTTAATAAGACAAGTATCCACAGCTCCTCTCAAGAGTGGCGTGCAAACCACATGGAAATAATGCCAATGTGGCGCTGTCTCAACCTGATACCAGAGAAATGTCAAACATTGGAAAGTGAAGTGGTACACCACAGTGCCAGTTCGATTGATAAGGGATTCCAGGGGTATGTCAATCTCTACGTGATCGGTGTCCCGTATACGGGACGGTTGAGCTAACGTGCGCTAATGTGATTAGTATGACTGTTGTAAGTAACAGCAAACTTTCCAGGACATAGACATGTCTTATATGTGCAGAAAGCTTAAATTCTTGTTAATCTAACTGCACTGTCCAATTTACAGTAGCTATTGCAGTGAAAAAATACCATGCTATTGTTTGAGGAGAACGCACAACAACAAAAAACGTATCACGGCAACTGGTTTGATACATTCACCTCTGAAGGTAAATAATGTACTTACATTCAGTAATCTTGCTCTGATTTGTCATCCTACGGGTCCCAGAGATAAAATGTAGCATAGTTATGTTTGATAAAATCAATTTTTATATTAAAATGTAGGAACTGGGTTCTACAGTTTGAACCCCTGCTGTCTCTGGCTCCACACCAACCCTGCCCGGCCATCTAGATGTGTGAAAGTTAGTGTATAAGCTAATGATCCATCATGTATGACATTCCCGGGAGTGTGTAAACTTACATTTTGTATTACCATATCATTTTTGTATGTTCTCTATAGTTATGTACTTGAAAATGTATCAATTGACCAATTCGGCACATTTGGGCAGATTTGATATAAAATAGTCCAGTATTGCAATGCTTCACTGGATCAATCTGAAACTTTGCACACACACTGCTGCCATCTAGCGGCCAACATCTAAATTGCGCCTAAACTGCAATATTATATTGTGGCCTTTCTCTTGCATTTCAAAGATTATTAAAAAAAGCATATTTTTTTGTTTGTATTATCTTTTACCAGATCTAATGTGTTATATTATCCTACATTAATTTCACATTTCCACAATCTTCAAAGTGTTTCCTTTCAAATGGTATCAATAATATGCATATCCTTGCTTCAGGTCCTGAGCTACAGGCAGTTAGATTTGGGTATGTCATTTTAGGCGAAAATTGACAAAAAGAGTCCGATCCATAAGAGGTTAAGCCAGTGCCAGTTCCAAAATGGGCCAGGTGTCCAGATTCTCCACTGAAGTAATGTACTGTACATATCTGGACAGGAATATAACATTGAAGACCCCCATCAAAACACAACCACTGCTTTGGTCTAGAGATTGTATTACCTGTGACTATGTAAATGTTCTCCTTTGTTGCAGCTATCAGTCATGTATTATGGAAAGAAGACAGAGGTGTTGGGTAAAGCTGTCGTTCACCTCACCGCTGTTGGTATGTCATGCTGATGACAGGAGAGCACACACATATACACTACCCTGACCCCATTAATACCATACCTTTTGTACTGTAAATCTGTCAGTTGTAAATGTGTGTGTTAGAGGCAATCTGAGATTGCGACATCCATTTATGGATCTTTAAATTAATGATAATGATATACTGTATATCCATTGATTTTTGAAGAATATAACTCATAATACCTCATTAGCTTAGGTCAACTGTCATACTCCATCAGAACCCAAAATATAAGCTTGTTTTACTCCAGTGTTTGTAAGCAATGGAAATGTAAAACACTGTATGGTCTCAAAACATGGTTAAAACTATAATTTTATATCATGGATGGTCATCTCTGTCTATGAATTTCTGGTTACATTTCTCTAGTGGTTACATTTCTTTAGCGCCATCCCTCCACCTTTTACCAAAACAGTGTCAGCGACTTTGTTTGAACTGCAGATTGCCCCTTTAATGTATATTTCACTGGTTTACTCCAGACCTAAAGCAGCTTATGAGCTTCAGTGGTACCCAGGCCCTGTCTATCTTGCAGAGATCTCCCTGGATGTTGATGCTGATCGTGATGGCCAGGTGGAGAGGAACAACCCCAACAAGGTTAGTTATATCTGCTGGGTCTGTCCAGGCAGGTCGCTTTCAGCACAGAGGTCACTATCTCTCTCTCCTATCACAGCAGGATTCAGAAGGAGACGCTCTAACATGAATAGGCATGTCAGAAGACTAGTGTTCATGGAAGATTGCCAATGCATTCGTAAGAAATTCAATTGAATGTAGTACTTTTCCACTCAGCTGTAAATGTAATCTAACCTCTTGCAAACACATTGGGAAAAGCTAATTCGACAGGGCAGTGTTTGTTTTTGTCCCTGAATGACAGTGTTCATCTCACTTCAGGGATCCTGGATGTGGGGGCCTAATGGCCACGGTGCCATCCTACTGGTCAACTGTGACTCAGAACACACCTATCGGAAGAGGCTGGACAGTGAGTGTGCTGAGGTCACCAGAGTCTCAGGTATATAACAACAACAGCCAAGTCATCCTGGTCTACTGAGCTGACAGCCAGGCTGACAGTGCTGGGCATTGCAATAAATCAACATTTGAAGGCTGCAGGTCTCTGTCGCTTGTGTGGATTCAGCAGAGAGGAACAGCAGTGATGTAGGTGTTTGTTTTGGCTAAATACAAAATGCCTGAGCTAGGAGTGTGTCTTGTTTGATTAGATGGATCCTTGTGTCTTGTGTGGTTGATGGGTTGACACTTGATGTACAATAATGCCAATATTTTGAAATGTCAGATCTTAAAGATATGTCCCCCATGGTGCTGCGGACCAGTGGCCCTGCCAAACTCCCAGAAGGCTACAAGCTAACCATGCACATCTCCCAGGGTGATGCAGAGTGTGTGAGGGTCTTTAGGACCAGTTCCACGGCAGTCATGCACCAAACCCTGAGTGAGTCAAATAAAATATGTAATGAGTCCAGTCTGTTCAGATCTTGTATGTGGTGTGTGTGGCTGTCCATGTATGTACAACAGGAGTGTCAAACTCATTCCATGGAGGGTCTATTGTCTGCTGGTTTTAGTTTTTTCCTTTCAATTAAGATCTAGACAACCAGGTGAGGGGAGTTACTAATTAGTGACCTTAATTCATCATTCAAGTACAAGGCAGGAACGAAAACCCACAGACACTCGGCCCTCTGTGGAATGAGTTTGACACGTGAGGTACAATGTGTGTACAATTATAGTTTTATGGCTGAATATTATATTAATGGGAGTTTAAAGAGGTTAATGAAAGTGTGCTTTATCAAGTTACCCCAATTTGCTAACCGTTACTTAAGACAAAATCAAGATGTCAATATTCTTGCAATGTTTTTTGTATGACATTTTTTAAATTACAGTTTCATTTGAGCAAATTCTGAATTTGTGATTGAGTTCACTTTATTTATTTTTATCCCAACCCCTCCGAAAGAGACACATACAGGTTGGAGCCACACTGGGTGCCTGTGTAGCAGTTGTTGTGGGGGGTTAAGTGCCTTGCTCAAGGGCTCAACAGTATCTAGGATTTGATACCAGCAACCCTCCGGTTGCCAGCTCACTTCCCAACAGATTTTCCCTGTCAGACCCAGGATTATAATTTACGGTTGCTGGTTCGCCTCTCTAACCGCTAGGCTACCTGCCACCCTGTGATTATCTAGATATATTTTTTTAAAGATGCACTATGCAGAAATCGCTCTGCCATATCCTGGTTGCTAATATTCTAATAGTTAATTTCAGTTTGTGACAAAACAAGCAAGTATAGTGTAGAGAATCATTGTACCATCTAAACTGCTGTGAAATATATTTTCCATAACCAAAATATTGTTGTTTCAGCTGTTTGAAGCTGGTGTACAAAACCAAAAGTAAAAGATGCAAAAAACAAAACTTTAAAACGCGAAGCATAGAAATAGCGCACATAGAACAGATCTACCACTTCTTAGACTTGCTTTTAATGCAAATGTCAGATCTATAACTCACATGTCTATGTTAATGTTGTCGGGTCTACGAAAATGTTACATATTGCAGCTTTAATTGTTTGCCAGCCCTATTATTTACATTTAAAACATGATTTACTGCAGCAGAAAACCTGTTTTACAAGAGCTTTGTGAAGGACTACCCACTAGTGGTGGGCAGTGAGGATCTGTCCAAGGAGGTACCTTACCTTGGGGGAAACACTGAGATGAACTTTTACGTTGAGGGCCTGAGGTTCCCTGACAAAGACTTTGAGGGCCTAATCAGCATCTGCCTCAGCATGCTGGAGCCGAGCTCTCAGGTACGTTGTAGTTTAACACTTTTACTGTTTGTTTGTTAGGTGTGGCACAACTTTAGAAACTGTTCATACTTCTTATTATTCCACTGGAACCTCTAGCGCCAAAATCATAAAAGCTACCAACACCAAAACAACGTTAGAATGTGTAGACTACCACTGGTCAGTGTGCTTGAAAAATCATGTTTGATACTACTTATACTTTTCATGCTACAACCATATTTGCATAAATCCCAATGCAATTTAATGGCCATAGACTTGAATGGGAAAAATTCAGGTCATAACTAGTCTTCAACCGTTTAAGCTAGAAACACCATTCAAACTTTAAAAGGTGCAGACCGATCTGGAATAGTGTGCTTGTATACAGCTTTTTGATACCATTTATACTTTTGAACTATAACCATTTTAAATGTACATAAAAGCTCCATAGGCTTGAATAGGAAGTATTTGGATTCACCTCTGCTCTTGAACCGTTAAAGCTACAAACACCATCCCAACGTTGGCATGGGTAGACTGACTGAACTTAGATGGCTTCAACACAGCTTTTTGCTGCCATTCCTACTTCATAAACTAAAATGCTTGTTGTGTCCCCATTAATTTAAATGGCGGAATGCAGGCTTCAATAGTCAAAATCACTGCCACAAAACTCAGAATATTCCCCAAAATATATTTTGAGAGCTTAAAAACACATATGGCGTGTGATGATATAGTACTTACTCTAGCCTACTATATTAGCCCACTATAACCTACTATAATAATTCCACACCTACAAACCACCCCAAAATAGGTCACTATAACTAACACATAGCCTATGAAAACCCTATTACTACCATTACTACTGCCACACTACTACTACTACTACTACTACTACTACTACTACTACTACTACTACTACTACTACTACTACTACTACTACTACTACTACTACTACTACTACTACTACTACTACTACTACTACTACTACTACTACTACTACTACTACTACTACTACTACTACTATTTCACAACCATAAATACTTCAAGACTAGCAAGCACACCACATTTACTTCAATAAATGTAATTTTCTAGTTTAAAACTTCCAAGTTTATATATCTCTATCCTGGACTCTCTCATGTTTTTGTTATTTTCTTTTGCCAGGGCTTCCCTGAGACGCCCATCTTTACAGACAGGGTGATGTTCCGAGTGGCTCCCTGGATCATGACACCCAACACACTCAACCCTGTGGAGGTCTTCGTCTGCAGGTGAGAGGTGATGATGATGATGATGAGGAGGATGGCATTGATGTTGATGATGCCAGCTGTAAGCGTACTGAGACAAGTGTTTCTGTGCATTTGGTAACCCAGCACAACTGATAACGACCAGTTCTTAAAGAGAATGAGGAGGCTGGTGGAGAACAGTGGGTACAAGCTGAAGGTTTGCCCTGAGGATATGAACAGAGGAGACCGCTGGATGCAGGTACTTTAAGCAGTGGGATTCAGCTCGTAATCTTTCATGCCATTTTGTGCTTGAACTCTTTGTCATTTCATCACTTTCCAATTCCAACCTTTTTTCAATCTAAACAACATTTCTTCCATATGCTTTTTCATCAATGCTAATCATTGTCAATTTAAATTCTAGATACCCTCTTCTTTAAATGAAAGACATCAGAACAAAGACCGGTGTCTTGTTTCTAACTGCACTAAAAACAATGTATAGAAATGTAATGGAGGTTTCTCTCTCAGGATGAGATTGAGTTCGGCTACATTGACTCTCCTCACCAACGTTTCCCTGTTGTTCTGGACTCCCCCCGAAACGGAGCCCTACAGGACTTCCCTTATGATGTGCTACTGGTAAGAAAAGGCATTCACAACACCTGGAGTTAAAATGTACTTATCTCTGAATTGTGAGCGGTGTGGTGGATCTGTGTCTTAACCTTGCTCTACCTGGTGCCCTCAGGGCCCAGACTTTGGCTATGTGACGAGGACAGCATATGACAAGAAAGTGAGCAGCCTGGACTCGTTTGGTAACCTGGAGGTTAGCCCTCCAGTCACTGTAAATGGAAAGAACTACCCTCTGGGTAGGATCATCATTGGAGTGGCCTTCCCCACGTGAGTGTAACATACACATTTCAAATCAAGACGTTTTTCCTCCAACTTTAGCATCCCACCAACTTTTTGCAGACTTGTCTTTATATATGAAAGGTATTGCCGGCGACAAAGCCTCTACTTTTATTTTCGCCAAATGACCTAGTCATGATTGCAGTAAAGTTCTGCCAACGGCTTAGTATGAAATGTACTAAGGCATGTCACTTCACCCATCTCTTCGCATAGCCCACCACATGCAGTGTTTTCTAAACCACAACTGGATGGATTCATAAAGAATTACTGTGAGAATAAATATCACTGAATGAGGAAATTATTGTAATAAAGTAGGCTAATGCAATTGAAGGCATCAAATTGTTGTTTACTGAAATTCCCAAAATAATCAAATTCTTATAATAGGCCTACATTTGAAGCAAACGCCTACTAGCGTGTGGTCAACTATTTCAGTACCGTTTCGCGCTGCTTTGAGACAAGTTGGGGTCTTGATCAAGTCATATTTTTATTTTCACTGAATCTCTGTTTTGATATTGGTTAGGCTACAATTAGGCTGTGGAAATGTTAGCTAAATTGAGGTGAGTGTGGCTCATGATCATCTTGTCTAGTTGGCTCATTTATTAGCACTGATCAGCTGGTATAGCTCATCTATCACTGATCAGAAACATTTAGCATGCAATAATTTAGCCTAAATCAAGTGTAGGCCTATTATTTTGCTTGATCGTGTAGGCAACTCCAAAAGCCTGCAGAGGTTGTGTAATATGATTGTGACATATGATTATGAGACTCACATGCTTTTGAAAATATAGGTTGCTATTATTTTCTACCAGTATTATGATGAAGATGGCCTACTCTCAATGTGAGACCCTACACCTGCTCCCTAACAAAGTGGAGTGAGGGTGGAAAGATGAAGTGTGGCTTAAAACACATGGGCTTGTCTTGGGCTCTGTTTCAAAATATATTTTTTTTGTTGATGACAGCAGATCCACACGTTGCCATGATGCAAGTTGTGTGGGAAAAATATTATTTGTATTTTATTCTGTTATTTTTCATTATATTCTTAGCTTACTATACAATAGCCTATATGTGTGTTGACTGTGATCAGGGTAGCCTAAGTGTGTCTTGTCTGTTTAATGAACAAAATAAATATTGGTTTCATGCATGGTGCAGCTATGTAGCAAATAGGCTGCATAGACCAGTAACTCAAAATATGCCATTCTATTATTTTGAAAATACATTTTATTAGTCTTATAATGTATCTTAGGACCTAAAATGAATGAATAATGGATATATATGTAATGGTGTATATTCATGGATTTATTACATCTACATCTAAAAGGCTTATTCTGGCAAGAATGTGTTAAAAATGCTTTAAAAAACACACGCAGATAAAACAAATTGACAGGCAACATACCGTAAAGACTGTCTGTAAAGGGTAATTTAATCTGTTTTTTTTTTAGATACCAATATCTATCTTTCCTTCTTGTTAATGAGTATGTGGAACATTCAGATAAGTCTGTGGCCAGTGGTGATAAGGCTGTTTGACTTTTCAGGGCGACTAAGGGCCGCAACATGACCAAAGTAGTGCAAGACTTCCTGTGGGCTCAGAAAGTCCAGGAGCCCATTGCACTGTTCTCTGATTGGCTCACGGTTGGGCATGTGGATGAATTCATGACTTTCGTCCCAGCTCCGGACAAGAAGGTACATATCTTCTCAAGGAAAACATTTTTTTTCACTCTTTCAAAAACCACTAGTAAAATGACATTGCTCTGTAATCTAGAGTAGACATTAGTGAGATCCTTTGAGCACCAGAATTGTTCATCCCATCTATTTGCACTTGGACATTACACAGGCTTTGGCTGCCCTGTGGTTATGTGATAATGTAAAGCTCTCAGGATGTCAAAGGAAGCGTACAGCCAATGTTGTCTTTGTCCCCCGTTTCTCTGCAGGGATTCCGGCTTCTGCTCGCCAGCCCCGATGCAAGCTACAAACTATTCAGGGGCTTACAGAATGATGGGCATGGACAAGCCAAAATGTTTGATGGTAGGCCTTCTGTTAGGGGACTCGTCTCAGTGTGTTTCACTGTAGTAATAACTGTATTTGTTACTCATCAACACCGACATCAGCTTTTCGATCCCAACAGGTCTTGGAGCAGAAGAGATTACATTAGATGAGATTTTGAGTGATGAGAAACTCAAGGCAGACAACAACTATTTCCAGGTGAGGGAAACATTGAGGCCAGATTGACTAGTTACTCAGAAGCTAGCAGAGCTTTGCATGGCTTGGTATAATAACCATGCTGCCATCCTACAGAGCTGTATAGACTGGAACAGGGATGTCCTGAAGAGGGAGCTGGGTCTAGACGACCATGACATCATTGACCTGCCCATCCTTTTCCATGTAACGGGGGGGAACAGGGCAGTGGCCTACTACCCAGACATGGTGAGACTACATTGGTTCTACACTAGAACACCTCATGCTGACCCCTAACCCAGGCCCAAAGTACTTCTTACTTTATTTTTGTGGACCTATTATATGACAGAATGGCAAACCTCTCAAAAATGCTGCCAAATCAGCTTTGTAGTTTTGTGATGATTTTCTACATGTGATTAGGGAGTATGTTCAAGTCATCTACTACCCAAGTAGCCCAAGAGGCAGATCCTAATTTAGGCATATGTCTCTACCTCCAGGTGAACATGATTGTGTTGGGAAAGAACCTGGGCATCCCTAAGCCGTTTGGGCCCAAGGTGGACGGCCGCTGTGCCCTGGAGGCAGAGATGACCTCCCTCATGGGGGGCCTGGGACTCAGCTGCACATACATTGATGACTTTGCCTCCTACCACAAAAGGCAGGGAGAGGTTCACTGTGGCTCCAATGTCCGCAGGGAACCGTTCTCCTTCAAGTGGTGGAACCTGGAGATGTGAAGGATTTGGGGGGAAGGAACGGTTGTAGTTAGAAAGAGGGAATCATGCTTGAAATAAACAGCAGTAACAATCACCAGCAGCAGTTGCCTTCAAACAACAGTAGTCCTCGAGTGGTATTACCCCTTTTGTCTTTATTAAACATATTTGGCTTTATTTACAAAAGGGTGAAAAGCAATATTTACAAACAAGACTTTGGAACTTGAACAAGAACTTAAGCGGACTGTCAACGAGAAGAGAAATACAATCACCTGAATCAAGCACATTGCAGATTGAATCTGTTGTTTGAATTGGCTGGGGGCTCAATCCAAATGTCTTGCATGTACAACAAACAGAACAACAGGACCACAGAGAAATGTGCAAATATAAACTGGAGCCACCAGAGGGCGTAATCCAACTACTGGTATTCAAGCATTTTCCAAAGACTAGTGAGACGGAGATGAAAATAGTTTTTTGATATAGTTTTAGTGTGTGCCTGCAATACACACTATGACGCCAAAGGCGCTGTTAACATGATGAAACTTAACTTTCTCATCATTCCAATGACATTCCAATTAATAGTATTTTGTTGAATCATAATCTTCAGAATGATGTTTAATGATTAAGTAAATGTAAGACTAACTGTATTTTGATGTAGTGTTTCTTACTTAGGCAGGGATCCTTAAGATTCAACTGAAAGATTTCCAAAAGGATTGTATGAAAACGGAATGTACTAATGTCACAACAGACAATAAAGCACAACTCAATTCCATATTGGCTCTTCACTTCATTGAAATAAAAAGTCATGAAAACCATGCCTTCATATCAGTTCTTTTCATCACATACATCTGAGAAGAGGGAAAATGTCTCTACAATGTAAGACATTTCACAAGAGACCCAGGTTCCATTCATTGAGAGCAGATATGTACAAATTAATACACATCTGTTTAGTTTTACATTCAAACCAGTTGGTGATAGATTCCAGTTGGCAATATCCACCATGGAATATATTCCCTATATGAAGGGGGTTACCCTCCTATAAAGCAGCTTACTTAACACAAACATTAAAAAGGCAACTTCAAGACTTGTCACAGTGTAATTCTTTTTAGAAATGTCAGCTTTTCAAAAGATCAGCAATCATCTGAAAACATAGTGCCGGTTTCCACATCTACACAATGTATCCCCATCTTTCTCAATCAAAACCTATGTGAAACTGATATAACGTGATTTTATATCTGCATTGTGCAATGAATTTGGAGAAGTTGACTGGTTTAGAGTAACACATCACAGGAACAGTCCAGGGACAACACCTCTATTTTGAGCATGGTACCAGTTGACTGGAGTTTGCAAGCAGATTTACACCATGCACAGTTGTATACACACATCCAAACACATACTTTAAATCAAACTAGTGGTTTGGAAAAAAGCAAGAAAATGCTTAAAACGGTAGTCACTGGACAGTAGCTTGACTTTGGAGGCTGTCTGCTTTGGTTAGGTCACCTTGGTGGAATGTCTGACCGTGTGGTATTATCTACAGTATGGAACAGGGATGAAGTCATTTAGTTTGGACACTGGACCTTATCAGTAATTCAATATGTCATGTTTTTTGCTCAGCTTAAATGGCATGAAATAGGTTGAGCATAATTGTGGAGTCAGTAAAAGATTTTCCATTTATCAACATCAACTGTGAACTGTAATTGTACAGTTTGTCAGGGGAAGTAGTGGAATTGAAACCAGCAGCAGCATGATGATGATAAAAGTACCTTCTATCAAAAACATGTAACATTTACTAAAAGTTTCTAGTCAACATCCAGCATTACACTCATAATTGAAACACAAGGCTTGGTGTGCCAACAAAGGATCCGGGACACCAAGAGTAACACGTACAGTATCATGGTGGGATGTGAGGTTGATGGGTGCAATAATGTAATTTCTTCCCACAATGGCAACAGGACAACACCCTCTTATCCTCCTCATGCATTCCTCCTTAGCCTAACAGAAAAAGTCCTGTTGTACCTGACACATGGTCAACGGATCTTAAGATCCACCCCTGCTTCGACCTTCAAAACAAAACAATAAACAATGCCATTGAGAGGACAAGGGAGAGTATACAATAACAAACTACATGAACAGATTCAGGCTTCACAGAGCTCACGGAGCAGACATGTATGCAGGCTAAGCGAGCCAACAGACGACAGCCAGAGGCGATGCTGTGTGAGTGGCATTCGTTTTGGGTGGGGTGCGGGTCACTCCTCTCCTTCACCCCTCAAGGCATGTTGGGAGTCAGTCACATGGAGTTGGAATGAGGGAGGCCTGTAAGTGCATGTCCATGGACCTGGCTGTTCAGACTAGACTAGCCTACCCCAGGTCTATCTGTCTGTCCCAGCGACTAGCTCTGATCCTCTGCGTCTGTGGTGGAAAACACGTGTGCTTGCTTCATCTCCTGCAGGGGGTGCCTCTTATGGTAATGCTGTGGGAGAAGAGAGAGACAGCGTTCAGACCCTATCTGGTCATCACACACAAACAAACCAGACATGGGTAACACATGGTCAGTTACATCTACTGACTTGGAAAACTCCAGGTACCTGCTAATGGACATCCATGTAGTGATCAATGGGGAGAGGCTAACAGTTCTAGACAGACAGACACAGAAAGAGAATGACATGGTTAACAAAGACCACAATTACTGAACAACAATGAAGAGGGTAAGTTTATACATGTATAAGCCCATTTATTAACAGTAATATATACCTGTATGTCAGTGGAGGTTGCTGAGGGGAGAACGGCTCATAATAATGGCTGGAACGGAGCGAATGGAATGGCATCAAACCATGGCAGGTAGCTTAGTGGGTAAGAGCGTTGTGCCAGTAACCGAAAGGTTGCTGGTTCTAATCCCCGAGCCGACTAGGTGAAAAATCTGTCGATGTGCCCTTGAGCAAGGCACTTAACCCTAATTGCTCCTGTAAGTCGCTCTGGATAAGAGCGTCTGCTAAATGACTAAAATGTAAATGTAATGTGTTTGATACCATTCCACTCCAGCCATTACCAAGAGCCCATCCTCCCCAATTAAGGTGCCACCAACCTCCTGTGTGTATGTAAGCGGAATTAAATCTGTCTTTGTTTGTATTCCATTGTACACAGCTAATACAGTGAACAAGCAGAGATGTTACAGTGAATCTGATTATTAGTAAAACCAATCTCACCGATGATGACTTATCCTGTGACCGCGCTGTCTTGTCTCGGCTCTCCGCCCTTTTGAGCGCTACCCCTCTGCCCCCCTCAGTCTGCTGGGGCAGTGCAGGTGCTGTCAGGGAGGGGCAGACAATGGGCCATCATAACAAACAAAACCTTTGGTGCCTTACGGCAGTATTGAAAACACTATTAAAAACAGCTCACCTGGAGAGCTGCCCTGGCTGGTGGCACTAGTACTGCTCACACTATCCTCTACCCAGGAGACATACGCAAATGAGTCCTTCTTGTGTGGTGCTCCAGAAGAGCATAGACTCTCCTGCAGCAAACAAAAACACAAGCGCAAATGTCAGTCAGGATTTATTTCGAGTGTGTGTCACAATTATATTGACATGAACCTCAATGTTACGGTGTGTTGTATGTTAGTGAGTGAGGGTAGGAAAACAGGGGCACCTACCAGTCCAGTGTTGTATTCCTCGATGCACACATTATCGTGTTCCTCCACCATGCTGGCAAAGCTGCTGGCATTAGATGAGGAGCGGGACAGGTCCTGGGCCTCAGGGATGGACGGAGCCCTGCAACACATGGCCGAACTACACACCTGAGTCACTCTGGGGTGACAGGTAGCCTACCGGTTAAGAGCGTTGGGCCAGTAACTGAAAAGTTGCTGGTTTGAATCCCTGAGCAGACTAGGTAAAAAGATCTGTCGATGTGCCCTTGAAAAAAGCACTTAACCCTAATTGCTCCTGGATAAGAGTCTGCTAAATTACTAAAATTTAAATTGCCACTCTAATACACCCATGCACTCACTGCAAAAAGTGAAAACTAACCTAAATATCTTATATATATTTTTTTATCTAACTTCATTGTCATATAATTTGTCTTATTTTAACCTAAAAAAGGCTTTATACAAATAAATTATCTTATTTCAATATATTTTTCTAGATATTTTACATATTGAAATAAGATAAATTACTTTTTGCAGTGCATACACACACACATACCGACACACGTTGTTCAGCATGGGTTTAACTGAGCACTTTTGAGTGCTGTCTATTCACCTGATCCTTGTGGTGGGCATCTCTGGTGAGCTCTGATTGGATGAGTTCTCTGATTTGGGGTCCTGGGAGATGTGTCCGCTGTCTGGGGTCCTCTGTGTGCTGGGGGACACTTCCCGACTGAGGGAGGTGGGGAGAAAGAGGTATCAGCATGCTAATGCCTATCAGTTTGTTGATTGGACGAGTCTGTCTCTCCAGTGACCTTACATATCTTCAGAGCTGCCAACTCTCACGCATTGGATGTGAGAAACACGCATTTGACCCTCTTCTCACGCTCACCTCATATCTAACGCATTGAAAACTACTGCTTTTATTTTACTAATTAGTCCATTAGCGCGTTAACTTTTTAACTGTGCTCCAAGTCCTTTTGAAATCAGAGCATCTGCGCCAGCAATTTAACATGACGAGAGAAATCTCTATCATTGTCCTGTCTTGCCACAGCACTGTGAAATGCGGCACATTGAAGCATATGATTGGTCTAGTTATGTGATGGATCAAGGGGATTGGATGCATGTTTTAAAGAAACGCCACTCAAGATTAGGGTGGAGCTGAATGGAGAGACAACGTTCTATATCGTGGAGCTCCGCCCCATAGGGGAGCTATGCTCCTAGTGGTTTACCCTCTGCCCTACGGCAGAAACAGCCTGAAGCAAAAATTATGCACACACCTGCAGCCAATGGGAGCACAGGTGCCCCTATATAAAGGGACCCGTTCCCTCAATCTGCCTCCCATTATCTTCAGCGACTGGACTAGAATTGAAGAAGCCATAGAAGACTCAGGAAGATCTCGTCGTTGATATCCAGCCATCAACGTCTTCCAGCATGAGCGCACCAGGGAATTTCCCACCCCCAAAAGCCCTTTTTAGGGCTCTATGTCGATGCACTGACATGGCAGCTACGGACCCCCACAACCTTTGTTTCGTGTGCTTGGGACCGCAGCATGCTAAGGACGGTCTCGACAACCCTCCTAACTGCGCCTCCTGCGCCCTCCTTCCTAGCAAGGAGAGGAAGCAGCGTTGGGCGTTCTTTAGAGAGGACGTCCCTCTAGAGGATGTATTGTCCACTCTCGCCTCTGCTTCAGAGGCGTCGACGGACAGTGCTGGCTCAGAGGACGGCAAGGAAGGCACAGAGATGGATATCCCAGTGGGACAATCCGGAGCTCTGGCGCCAGCTTTCAAGACCCCCTTTCCGTTGGAGAGCGCGAGGTCTGAAGGCTCCTTGTACGATGACGACATGGGCTCTGTGAGATCAGAAGCCCTGTCCTTCGCGGCAGCCTCTCTGCGTTCGGACTTTCCCGAACTCATTGAGAAGGCGGCTAATCGACTGGAGATAGCGCTGCCCCCAGCTCCCCTCCCTGTGGAAGTGGACCTGATGGAAGGCGGCCCCTACTCCAAGCCAAGGAGGGCGGCTGAGCCAATGGCTCCAGCCATGCCTTCCCTTGGCAAATATGTCGAGGGCTCGTGGGGCTCACCTCTGGCGGCGCGTTCGCCGGCCAGAGCGTATATCCCATTCACCAGAGTGGCCGGTAATGAGTGGGCGGCTAAGGGAATCCCTAGGCTCGAAGGCGCCATGGCGGCGTACTTAGTGCCAGGTTCGAGTCCCTGGGCAGCCTCCAAGAAGGCCACCTTGCCAGCACAAAGGGACAGGCTCACAGCACAGCTGGCTGAGAAGTCCTTCACGCTGGGAGCCCAGGGCGTGTCAGCGGCGAATAACATCGCCCTCCTCGCGGCCTCCCTATCCCGTCTCACAACGGGTAGGTCGGAGTTGACCAGCGAGGAAATCGAGGAGGCGTCCAGGATTTCCGGGGCCATCCTCCATCTGACGCAGGCTGTGGCAATCTGCGCAGGCAGGACCATGGCCACCTCGGTGGTCACAGAGCGTCACCTGTGGCTATCTATGACGGCCATGAAGGAGACTGACAGAGCCTCCTTGCTCAACGCTCCCGTCTCCAGCGAGGGCCTATTTGGGGTCGCTGTGAAAGACGCAACAGAGCGTATCGCTAAATTGGATGAGGAGAGGAATCACCTGGCCAAACATCTGCCATTGGCAATGAAGGCCAGCAGAGCCCCAGCTACTCCGTCCACCTCCAACGCCCCCAGTAGAGCTACAGGGAGGCGACGGGCCAGGCGACAGGCGTCCACCACAGGCGGCAAGAGAGCGGGTTCGGCCCCTCCAGCAGCGACAGTGGCAGCGACGGTTCCGCCGGCGAGGGAAGTCGCCGTCAAGCCGGCCTGGCAGCACCAGAAGGTCTCCCAAAAAAGGCGGCACCAATGACGAGGCGAGGGGGAGAGGACGGAAGACGGCTCGGCGCAAGACGCAATTGAGCTTACTGTTCCCCCCCACCCCACTGTTCAGGGCGTGGAGGGTGTGTTTTGTGGTTGTGTGAATAAAGAGCTGGTTCTCACTGACATTGTCAAAGAAGGACATTTATTCCATAACGTACTACAGAACACTTCACGTTCTATGGTTTTCTCTCACCATCCTGAGTGTAGCTCAACCCACCAAGAGTGCGTAGTTGAGCGCATTCAGGAGAGGAAAAGGGAAAAGGTAGCAAGGCGCAGCCTTAGCTCACTTAATAAAGATCTTTTACTACAGACTCCTAGGAGCTCTGTAGTAAAGGTCTCACACAGCAGGCAGCTGTCTCTGTCCCAATGTGACATGAAGACGCAGCCGCTAGCCGGGAATGACGCCTTGCTGCAGGCTAATGCCTCAGCCAGCGCAGATCAGACCCGTGCGACGTTCACGGAGAGCGGGAATACCAGAGTTACAAGTATAACCAAGGTATGGACGCCTCCGGTCTATTCAGAACGTAACAATGCCCATGGCTCTGAGCGCAGCTCACCACACATTGAGTGTGCTGTTGAGCAGCCGCATGAGACCAATGAGGAGGTATTGTGGCACCACCGTGTGGTACCAGTCAGTGATCACATCTTTCAGACTCTGTTGAGTACTGTAATGGATGGGTCTCATGGCAAGCAGCAGTCTCAGTCAGACAATGACATGATGACGCAATTGCTATCCGGGGAGAGCGCTCTGTCTCAGGCCAATGCCTCAGCCAGTGCAGTTCAGAACCGTGCTGCGTTCACGGAGGGCCGGATTACTGGAGTTACGGTCGTAACTAACGTATCAAGGCCCCCGATTCACCCAGAACGAGCTGATGTTTCCTCTCCCTTTCGAGGGGGGCCCGCCTTGGGCTATTCCACCAACTCAGTGCTGGGGAATAGCGGCGGCGAGGGCCATAGAGGAATACAGGTCCTTCCTACTGGATGCACCACAGCTTCGTGCGCGCCCGCTTTCTCTGCATCGCTGGCAGTGGCAACGAAGCTGTACCCTCTCACGCTGGCTAGATCAGACGTTGCAGAAGGGTTATGCCCTCCAATTCCATCGGCCCCCACCCCCGTTCAGGGGAGTGGTGGAAACGGTGATGAAAACGCCAGACAAAGTAGCCGCTCTGATGTCAGAGATTACGGAACTTTTGGCGAAGGAGGCGGTCACAGTAGTTCCCCGAGAGCAAAGGAACAAAGGGCTGTATTCGCCCTATTTCCTAGTGCCCAAAAAGACGGGGGGAGTGAGGCCGATTTTGGACTTACGCATTCTCAACGAGAGCATAACCAAACGGCCCTTCCGAATGCTGACGACAAAACGTCTACTGGAATGTGTCCAGAAGGGAGATTTTTGTACAAGCATAGACCTAAAGGACGCGTACTTTCATGTGCCGATACAATCACGCCACAGAAAGTTTCTGCGGTTCGCCTTTCAAGGGGTGGCGTACGAGTTCACGAGGATGCCGTTTGGGTACGCCCTGGCACCTCGAACATTTTCCAAATGTGTGGAGGCGGCATTGGAGCCGCTGCGTCGTCAAGGGATAAGGATACTAGCCTACCTAGACGACCTGCTGGTTCTCGCCCCGTCAGCAGAGCTGGCGTTCACTCACACGACACAGACAGTGATTCATCTCACGCGTCTGGGGTTCGCTGTGAATTGGAAAAAGAGCGCACCCTGGCCCAGTCATCAGATTGTCTACCTGGGACTACAGCTAGACACTGTAATGATGAGGGCTCGAATTTCGGACCCTCGAAGGGCAGCATTGTTACTAGCCCTGAGGAGGTGTCGTCCGAATCACACAGTAACGGCGCTATCGATCATGTCACTTTTGGGTCTCATGTCGGCAGCCCACTCTGTGGTCCCGCTGGGGCTTCTGCACATGCGCAGAACACAGCGGTGGTTCGCCCAACTAAGACTAGACCCAGTGCGTCAACGTCATCGGTTGGTGGTGGTTCCTCTCTCGCTAAGAGCAGACCTGGACTATTGGAGGAACCCGAGCGTTCTCACGCACGGAGTCCCGATGGGCAAGGTGTCATCCTACATTCCAGTGTTTACAGATGCCTCTCTGACTGGATGGGGAGGGACATGTCAGTCTCAAGCGATAGGAGGTGCATGGCCTCAATCAGGTCGTCACATCAACCTCCTAGAGTTGGAAACGGTTCGACTGGTTTTGACCCACTTCGCGTCTACCCTTCGGGGTCGCGATGTGTTGGTCTGGTCAGACAACCGGACCACAGTGGCTCACATAAACCGCCAGGGAGGGGTCAGGTCTCCTGCCCTCCATCGGGCGGCAGTGGAATTGTGGCTGTGGGCTCACAAGCACCTTCGCTCATTGAGAGCAGCGCACATTCCGGGCTACTTGAACGTAGGGGCAGACCTCATGTCAAGAGGGGGTCCTCGAGACGACGAGTGGTGTCTGCACCCGGACATTGTTCTACGAATTTGGGAACAATTCGGGAGAGCCGAGGTGGACCTGTTCGCGTCACGTGTGAACGCGCAGTGTCTCCTATGGTTTTCCCTGAGGGAACAGGACGAACCACCACTGGGAAGAGACGCATTCGCGCACTACCCGTGGCCGAAAGTTCTTCTGTCTGCATTCCCTCCGCTGTCTTGCATTCTCCCACTGCTAGCCAGGGTGAGGTCAGAGGAGCTGTCAGTGATACTGATAGCGCCCGATCGCCCGGGGGCTCCGTGGTTTGCGGAGATGAGTCAGATGTTGATTGCGCCACCTTGGCCAATTCCACATCGACGAGACGCGTTGACCCAGGCGGGAGGCTCGATAGGGCAGTGGCCCATAATCGGCCAACCACTGAAGGCTTGGTTCCTGAATGGGACAGGTTGAGGCGCCGTGGGTTATCTGATGCAGTGATCAGAACCATACAGGGCGCAAGAGCCAGTTCCACTTCTAGAGTGTATACCAGCAGATGGAATGTTTTCTCACAATGGTGTGACACACAGGACGTGGACCCCATGAGCTGTCAGGTAGAGAGTGTGCTCTCATTCCTGCAGTCTATGTTTGATAAGCAGAAATCGCCCTCCACCATTCGAGTGTTTGCAGCGGCAATTTCAGCTGGTCATGAAGGGTTTAACGGGAAAAACGTGTTCAGTCACCCATTAGTGAAACGTTTCTTATTGGGAACGCGACGGCTTAGGCCGATGCCTAGAGCTACGCTGCCCAAGTGGGATTTGGCCTTGGTTCTCGAAGCGCTATGTAAGTCGCCGTTCGAGCCACTGCCCTATCGAGCCTCCCGCCTGGGTCAACGCGTCTCGTCGATGTGGAATTGGCCAAGGTGGCGCAATCAACATCTGACTCATCTCCGCAAACCACGGAGCCCCCGGGCGATCGGGCGCTATCAGTATCACTGACAGCTCCTCTGACCTCACCCTGGCTAGCAGTGGGAGAATGCAAGACAGCGGAGGGAATGCATACAGAAGAACTTTCGGCCACGGGTAGTGCGCGAATGCGTCTCTTCCCAGTGGTGGTTCGTCCTGTTCCCTCAGGAATCAAATACCCCTCAAGATGCTGTCTATCAAGACGGCGCTGTTGCTCGCCTTGACTACTGCTAAGCGGGTCAGTGATTTGTGTGCACTGTCGACGAGACCCGACTGCCTTGCCATCAATGGCGATCTGAGCAGAGCGGTGTTACGTCCTAACCCGGCATTTGTGCCGAAGGTTATTAACAGTGCATATAGATCACAGATCGTGGAATTGTGGGCTTTTCATCCCCCTCCCCATGGGGAGAGGAGTGAGGAAAAGCTTCATTGTCTGTGCCCAGTACGCGCTTTGGCGTGCTACATTGAGCGCACAGCAGCGGTTAGGTCATCGCCTCAGCTGTTTGTGTGTCACGGTGCGGCTGCATTAGGTAGACCACTTTCAAAACAGCGATTGTCTCATTGGCTTTGTGAAGGTATTGAGACGGCGTACGAGGCGGCGGGGCAACAACCGCCTCAGGGTATTAGAGCGCACTCCACTCGTGGAGTAGCAGCTTCTACTGCCCTCTTCAGAGGAACAGAGGTAGAGGATATTTGTAGAGCAGCGTCATGGTCGACACCGTCTCCTTTTATCCGTTTCTATCTGTTGGATATGTCTTCTAACTCTTTGGCTCGGTCTGTACTCAGCGTGGCTGAAGGGAGATCTTGAGAAAAAAACAGAGAAAGAAAGCAGGATTGTGACCATGCTCATAAGTCCGTTTTTATTAGAAGAAACATATTATGGATGGACATGTTTTCTAACTCTTTAGTTCGGTCGGCATCAGCAGAGCTGAAAGGCGATTTTGAGCTAGAAAGAATGGACAAAGCAGGACCTTGGGCAGGTTCCAATCAGGTCCGCTTTGGTTAGGAAAACTTGTTATGTCTAGGATAAGCTTTTAACTCTCAAGCTCGATTGCACTCAGCACAGCTGAAGGATAATCTTGAGCTGGAGGAGAGAGAAGCAGGATGATAGACAGGTCTCTATCAGGTCCGCTTTGGATGAAAAGCATATCTTGTGGCATGTCTCCTGACTGACAGTGTCAGTATGGTAGAGACATGTATTGAGGGGACAGAATGTGAGGTCATCTATCTGATGGTTCAGTTTAGTATGACTAGTATATTTTGTTCCTGCCTACTAATCTCTGGGTTCCATTGAGTGAGTAAGGCGGTATATTGGACACATAATGTAGAGTGACATTTATGTCATTCCATTAGTGGACGATAGTGTTGTCACAGAATATTGAGGCACGGCTATCTGCTAGTACAGATTAGCATGGCTTCTATTCTGATGGTCTGCCCACTAGCCATTGGCATTGCTATTGAGCTAGATGGGGCGGGTCTATAACCGATGACGCGGTATATTGTGACGCCCGGATGGGTTTTTTAGTCGCAGTACTGCGGGAATTGGTTGCAGCCATTGCTGGGCTTGACCTTTTTTCATTTTTTAATGGGAAGTGTTAGGCTCGGCAGGGAGTACATTTTGGAGCGTTTCGCTCCGCCTTAAACCACTAGGAGCATAGCTCCCCTATGGGGCGGAGCTCCACGATATAGAACGACTAGTTACCGGAGTGTAACTCCAGTTCTATGAGTGGAGCGGAGCCCCATAGGACTTAAGGCCCTGCCGACCCTCTCTAGTCTCGCTGAAGATAATATCTCGGGAGGCAGATTGAGGGAACGGGTCCCTTTATATAGGGGCACCTGTGCTCCCATTGGCTGCAGGTGTGTGCATAATTTTTGCTTCAGGCTGTTTCTGCCGTAGGGCAGAGGGTAAACCACTAGGAGCATAGCTCCCCTATGGGGCTCCGCTCCACTCATAGAACTGGAGTTACACTCCGGTAACTAGTCGTTCTCCGCTGATTTTATAAAACTGTAAAAAGAGTAGCATGGTAGCGCTGTTTTATGTCAAATGTTGTCAACAAAATTAGGTTGCTGTTACTCCCGTCCATAAATCTATTCGTTTTGACAGCATGTACTAAAATCGATGTAATCCACACTTGCATTAGTCCCCTCGTTTGGTGATTGGCGTTTAGGCTGTGACAACAAAAAGGCAGCAGACAGACCTACATTATGTTTTTGGTTTAGTTTGGTTAGGTGACCTGATTCGTAACTGTGAAAATAATTTTGTCAAGCAAATTGTGAACCCAAAATTGTATTCTAGAGTGGGAAAAATAGAAGTAGAATGTGGTTAGGGTGTAGGGGCAGATTTATGTAATATTGTCTTCAGGAGATTTGATTATCTATTTACTTTATTTAGTCTGATCAGTGGAACAGTTCTCATTCTTAACAATGGGCTAAACTATAGAGTAATTACTGTGCTTGTCAGCAAGAACACCAATGTTATTCCCCAAACATATTTTATTATTCCACTTCTTCCCTATTTTGCCAGTGTAATCACATATTTGAAATCTGATATGCCTACTTGATATGAGGCTATGTATTTTTCAGCCATTAATGGACAGTTTTGAATAAGGCATACAAATAAGCGTTGGATATTAAATGCTCCAGGAATCAAATATCATTTTTGACATTTTAGTATTGTGCACATGATAGGCAGAGATGGTAAGGGTACTCACAACTCATAAAGGCATCATCTTTTTTCTATGTAGAGTAAGATGATGGCAAGGATATTCAACTAGTAGGCATAAACCCCCTGAATATTGATATTCATTAGATTTTTCTTGAAGGTTGGGTGATTTTGAGAAATGAATTGTTATAACAAGAACATTTTCAAACACCCAGCACCTGGGAAACATACAGTAGATCAGGGGTGGCCAACCCTCCTGGAGAGCAAGCAGGATTTTATTCAAGCCCTATTTTAAAGAGATAGTTCATCCAAATTACAAAATGTTTGTGTCCTTACCTTGAAAGCAGTCTATGGTCAAGGAGACTGTAATCTATGATTTGGTTACCCTCTGCCATCAACCATTAATATTACAAAATTCCTGTGCAGAGCCTTGGTGTAGTGGTAACACTTCCTGGCACATATCGCACACAACTTGCCTGTCTCCCCATCTCATTTAATTACTGTCTGAATTAAGTGTCAAACAACCTAAAAAATATGATAACAAAAATATTAGCATACTTTAAATTTAATCTCCCCAAAATCTCAAAGTAACAAAGTCGTCAAATGTTGAGTGTTCATTTAATGTTCAAAGCATCCTAAATACACCGGACCTGTGGTTTTGATTTTTTTATCTTCCACCCTGGTCATAGGCCTAAGACATGTCAAAATACATTGAGTTGCAGGAAATTAGCTTTAAAACAGTAACATTTTCCCAGTCCCCCTTCTAGGGATTGTGCCAGGGGGCAATGAAATTCACATAGCAAATCTCACTCCAAGCTTTCTTCAAAAGTTGGCAGCCCTGTATCTTTGAATGCCTCATCTCTCTCTTTACCCCGTTGTCTCCCATCTCTTGAAGTATAAAACCATCCCAAGGTGCGGGCCAAAACCACTAGTTTGTAACTGTCGTACCATTGGCAAAAAAAACACTAGGCAATCTGATGTCATACATTGTGGGAGGTACTTTAGACTGAAACGAAAGTAAGGAGGTTGTTGGGGAGGATGGGTAGGCGTATAATACGAATGTTTTGCAACCCAAGGCTGTGTGTTTGAATCACGGCATGGACAACTTTAGCATCTTAGCTAATTATCAAATTTAGCTAAACACAACCATAGCATTTTGCAACTACTTAGCATGTTAGCTAACCCTACCATAACATGAACCTCTCCCTAACTCTAACCTAACCTCCTTTCTAACGTTAGCCACTAATCCTAACACAACTGCGACACTTCTGTAAAATACCATGTGACAGCTGACAGCCATTTATAGTAAATTTTGGTATTTGCCCTCACTTCTGAAATGTTTAATTTCTCCATCTCTTTCTATCCTTTTTCTCTGACACTCCCAATTTTCCTCTTTCATCTCCAGGTAGCCCAAGCCTTCCTCTCACCTCCTCTCCTGCACCTCCTGGATGTTCTCGATCCCAATGGCGCTGCTCCGTCGAGTGCCGAAAGCCCCAGACTTCTTCCTGGTGGGGCTCTTCCCAGGAATGATCAGAGACTGGGGAGGAGTGGATAGGTTAGTCAGCCACAGTACTATATTCCTCTAGCATGACGTATTGTAAAAGATGGAGGCTATAATACACTGTCTAAGATATTACTTGGTCTGTTTTACAGTCAGTGAAAATGTGAATTCCATTCAAATATGGGTGAATGGCATTTGGTGAATGTCATTGAGAGTCTGCACAATGACTCAAATGCCTTCAGTATATGATACTTGCTATCTACAACACATGATAAACGTTATGGGGGACTAAAATGAAGTGACAGTGGCTTGTTGGTGAAAGACAATTTGAGATACTCCATCACTTCATCATGAGTGAAAGAGAGGAATTGATACACGGAGTAAGGTAATAAACCAGTAAGTATTCTCACAAACCTTTCCATTTTTGCAATGGATACCCTTCATAAACTATTTATTACCTAAATTATAGCTTTATTACAACCCAATGGTTTTACCCCACACTTGAGATGTAGAAAATTATTGCTTCATAAATGGATATAAAAATATTGGTTTAGGCAGAAAGCAACCGTATGAGTTATGCAAAGAGACAGATAACCAGACAAATAAGCAAAGAAAACAGCAGAGAAACAGCAAATTAGAAGGGAGAATTATACATGAACCTCTTCTATTGTTCCTATCCCTATGGCACTGCCGCGACGTCCATGATACCTACTGGGACCTTTCCCTGGGACAAGTAATGACTGAATCACATAAGGCAGTAGAAAGCAGAGAAAGAGAAAGAGGGATAAATATATAAATATAAAGAGATTGAGAGTAGCAGAGAAAAGAAGACACCATGAGATTTCATGCAGCAGGTAGCATTGGACCAGCAAGTTGCAAATTAGAACATGAGCTCACAGTACACCATAAGACACAGAAGACAGGCGACATATTGAGCACACATTGAAAGGTCATTCATATTGAAAGCTCGTCTAGAGTCCGAGACCACAGAGTGGCATTACGTACTGTATATGGTAGAGCTGGGACGATAAACCGAAAAGTATTGACACCGACCATACCGACCACTTATCGTGGACATTTTGCAGATATCATTCACTACGATAAGTAGCCTTTACTAGAGAAATGTGACGTTTAAAATGAAATTAGTTTGCTAATATGGGCGATTGTTAATGGAACAATTGATAGCTACAACATTCAAAGTACTAGTTGTAAGGGAAACATTGTGATGTTATAAACGTATCATTCAATTTATCGTTATCGTGATAATTTAGTCCATTTATCGTGATTATGGCTTTTTGGCCATATCGTCCAGCTCCAGTATATGGGCAGCATAGCCCAGGTAGCTTGGTCCCATTCTTCTATCATTGTCATGCCATACATGTAATATCTTGCATGACAATGAATTAACACAGAGAGGAAGTGCCAAAGCACAAACAGACTGTATATAGCCTGGACCACCAGGCTATAGATGTAGGCCTGTTTAAAATAATATATGACAGATAGCGAGAGATAGAGGAGGGTCTGTCACAATCCAAATAGTTAGTATGTGAAAGGGCAGATTTACTTTGGCGAACTAATTGCAAAACAGCAGCTGTTTCTTTGGATTGCCAGTCAGAGTATTCTGCAACCTGCAACAGTGTGTCACAAAGTGGAAATAGGTGCATTCATAAAGGAGACTGTGTACTAACTTCTCATCTTCACTACTGGCCGCCAGGCACAGCTCCATGCTAGACAGGCTTCATGCAGCGACAATGCTAGGCTGCATAAAGAGGCTACAGCAGCACATGCAACACTCATGCCAGCAAGGTAACAAGGGAGGAACTCTGGGTAGTCAGACAGCTCAACTCATCTCTTCTCAACTGGCTTTCAGGTTGTCAGAGAAAGCAAATCCGGATTCACAATGTTATGAGAGTCTGAGTCAAAAGCCCACTAAGTCTGTAAAAGGGCAGAAAGGGTTATAGGGTCTTTGGGATCATTCACATAAGAAAAACTTTCCAAAAGGCACACCAGTGCCTACTTTTATGCCTCAACAGATCTCTGGGTTTAACAATATGAAAATGTATATGGTTTAAGATTTAGCATGGCTTTCTATAACATTATCATGATATGAAAATGACAATCATTACTGTGAAATGAACAGTGGTTCATTTAAAAATGCCATGAAAAAAGTCATGGAAAATGGCAAACTATGGAGGTGACTGATATGAGGGTTAAGGTATGGGACCACATATACGAAACAGTGTGTTAAATAAAGGGGTTTGAGCACAGGTAGGATAGACAAGGAAGGGAGGAGTATGGTGTTAGCTACAGACAGTGTAGGCCAATTCCACAGGGCTGAGAGGATAGGGTATGCAGTAGAATGTATTGAGTGTTGTTAGGGGAGGGTCAGTGTCTACTACAGGGGAGTCAGTAGTGGGCCTCTGGTCAAACCAAAAGGGTTACTTACTATCCCTGGGGTTTTGGGGGTCTCGGTAAAGTTGCCGCTGAGACTAGTGGAGACAGTGTGTGGCTTCTTGTTACTGAGGCCCATGGCATCCATAGACTGGCTTCTGCTGCGGATCACCCGCTACAGAGTACAGAGAGAGACGAGGAGACACGGTCTGTGAGTGTGTATGGACCCTAACCCTTGCCTTAACCACACTAACCCTGATTCTAATGATAACCAGTGATGGAGATCATGCAGGACCGTATTTGAACACTTGGGGGCAGTGTAGATAAGTGAGCGGGAAAGAGGCCAAATGAGAGAAGATGTCTATTAGTATAACAGAGTAGACTGTTCCAGTGCCTCACACTGATAGGAAGGTGTAAATGAAGTCTGAGGTCTGAGAGTGGGTGTTCAGAGGAGAGTGATATAATCCTTCAATGTCTTGCAGGTGCTCAGTAGACTCATCCATGAATGAAGTGCAGGGCTGGATAGAGACTGAGACAGATAAAATAGATAGAGAAAAGAGAGAGAGAGAGATAGAGAAAAGAGAGAGAGAGAGAGATAGAGAAAAGAGAGAGAGAGAGAGAGAGAGAGAGAGAGAGAGAGAGACAAAACAGAGCCAGAGAGGAAAAGAGCATAGTGGCACATGGTTTGCCATGCGAGCAGCATCATCAGCTCGCTAATGAGAGTCCATTACAGCGTTCATCAGAGACACATAATCACAGCTCCTCCACTGCCATGGCACACTGTCCTGCCCACGCTCCACTCTCAGCCAACCTAATGGTCATTGATGAAGGACATAGAGTCAGAGTGCAGGATGCACATCGACAGGGATGCTCCCAACTCCCTGATCGTCGCCTGGTTACATGACACTCTAAAAGTGGGATGTGATATGGTAACAGCTAATTATGGAATCTTCAACAGCACCAGGGCACTACCAGAGAGCACTGACACTGGCACTGGCACTGGCACTTCCTTTTCTGTGCATTATTTTTCATGTTTGAATACCCAGAATCCCTTCCAGGAAATAATATTCAACCTCTCTCATGCATGTCAAGTGCCCGATTAAGCTTGCACCTCGTATAGTGGAGGGTTACCTTAAAGGACTCAAAGAAGCCTCCTCCCCCTCCACCCCCATTCTCCAGTTTGTCCTCGTCCCCTCCCAGGCCCATCATGGACTGGCTGTTGATGTGTAGCTCCTCATACAGGGTCTCCAGCAGGGCCGACCGTGTGCGCTCCTGACAACAACACACACTACGTCGGTCAGAACTATAGAAATCAATCGCATGTAAACACTTGTGCAGGGACTCCTGCATGCATTCAGTGTACAATAGAGTTCAACACACAAACACACACACACACACATACGTGTAAACACACACTCGTAATGAGTCTGTAAACCGACATGATCCTGTCATTAATCAACACATCCACAAACACTCAGACAGATGGTATAGTAAAGTGGTGCAGCGAGAGCAGCGTGACTCCGCCCCCACACTTCACAGCATGCTGTGGCACGCTCCTGCTCTCACCTCCAGCTTGGCAAACTTCTCAGCCTTGTAACAGGCGTACTCCGCATTGATCAGCTTAGTGAATAGGAACTCATGGAATTCATGTCCCTAGAGAGGAAGGGGAGGGAGGAGGAAGGGCTAAATTAATATGTTGTCCCTCTCATGGGCTCACCTAGTTTATGCATTACTTAGATTCATGACTTCTCACCTTTTTAAAAATGGCCGGGTCCGGTAGAGCAGGTCCAAAGAAAGGCACATCGTCTCTCGCTGTAACAGACACCTGGAGTGGTAAAAAAGAGGTGAAGTGTATCCAAATGCCACCACTAAATCACATAACACTGGCTAGCCCCTAAAAACCTTTATGAGGCAGATAATGGGCAGTCAGTTACTGATTGATTTCTAGTAAGGAACATGCAGGTTGCCTTGGGCCGACTCTCTATGTATTGAAATAGCAGGATTGCGCAGGGTTATAGACTGTGAAGAGTATGCCTGGGCTTACAGTACCTTGTACGTGACGTTGTCTGAGCAGGCATTCTCCACCTGAACCACAACATAGGCATGCAGGAAGTTGGATGCTATCATGTCTGGTACAAAGGGCGTGTTTTCCTCCTGAAACAAGATGGCCACGATGTCGTTGCCTATGTGCCTTTTCCTCTGCAGCTGCAAACACAACAGCACAAACAACAGTGTCACCATTATGGACATACATTTTACCACTGCATTAAGGTCAGCCAAGAACACCTAGATGAATTAAACAGGTAAAAACTCTACTAAATGCATAGTACAGAAACAATTTGTGCTTACTAATTAATTGTAAGTATGAAACATCTCTCTAAAAGCAGTTTTCAAGTAACAGTTGCGTTCAAGTGATGCATATTGAAAGGCATAGGGCAGCCTATAGCCCACTCAGTGAATGGAGACGGGGGCCAGCCCAGTGAGCACCGTCTGGCGTCCATGGACTTTGAAAAGACCTTGATTTCAATGTCCACAGATGTCGATTTTTGGTCCGATCCGGACTGGCCTTGATTGCAATGTCCACAGACGTCCCTTCAAATCTGAATCGGACCAAATCTGAACAAATCATAGCTGTCTAGGTTTCAGAAGTTTGGACAGTCAGTACAGCGCAGTACAGTACAGAACAGTTCAGTGCAATACAATACAGCAAAGTAGAGTATAGTTCAGTACAGTAGAGTACAGTAAAGAAGAGTAGAGTATATACAGTGCATTCAGAAAGTATTCAGACCCCTTTACTTCTTCCAGTTTGTTAGGTTACAGCCTTGTTCTAAAATTGATTAAATTGTTATTTTTTTCTCATCAATACACACAATACCCCATAATGACCAAATAAAAAAATAAAAAACAGAAATATAACATTTACATAAATATTCAGACCCTTTACTCAGTTCTTTGTTAAAGCACCTTTGGCAGCAATTACAGCCTCGAGTCTTCTTGGGTATGACGCTACCAGCTTAGCACACCTGCATTTGGGGAGTTTCTCCCATTCTTCTCTGCAGATCCTCTCAAGCTCTGTCAGGTTGGATGGGGAGCGTTGCTGCAAAGCTATTTTCAGGTCTCTCCAGAGATGTTCAATTGGGTTCAAGTCCAGGCTCTGGCTGGGCCACTCAAGGACATTCAGAGACTTTTCCCAAAGCCACTCCTGCGTTGTCTTTGCTGTGTGCTTAGGGTCGTTGTCCTGTTGGAAGGTGAATCTTCACCCCAGTCTGAGGTCCTGAGCGCTCTGGAGCAGGTTTTCATCAAGGATCTCTCTGTACTTTGCTCCGTTCATCTTTGCCTCGATCCTGACTAGTCTCCCAGTCCCTGCCACTGAAAAACACCCCCAAAGTATGATGCTGCCACCACCATGCTTCACTGTAGGGATGGTGCCAGGTTTCCTCCAGACGTGACGCTTGGTATTCAGGCCAAAGAGTTCAATCTTGGTTTCATCAGACCAGAGAATCTTGTTTCTCATGGTTTGAGAGTCTTTAGTCTTTGGGTTTTGGCAAACTCCAAGCGGGCTGTCATGTGCCTTTTACTGAGGAGTGGCTTCTGTCTGGCCACTCTACCATAAAGGCCTGATTGGTGGAGTGCTGCAGAGATGGTTGTCCTTAAGGAAGGTCTCCCATCTCCAAAGAGGAACTCTAGAGCTCTGTCAGAGTGACCATCGGGTTCTTGGTCACCTCCCTGACCAAAGCCCTTCTCCCCCTGATTCCTCAGTTTGGCCAGGCGGCCAGCTCTATGAAGAGTCTTGGTGGTTCCAAACTTCTTCCATTTAAGAATGATGGAGGCCACTGTGTTCTTGGGGACCTTCAATGCTACAGAACTTTTTGGGTACACTTTCCAGATCTGTGCCTCGACTCAATCCTGTCTCAGAGCTTTACTGACAATTCCTTCGACCTCATGGCTTGGTTTTTGCTCTGACATGCACTATCAACTGTGGGACCTTATATAGGCAGGTGTGTGCCTTTCCAAATCATGTCCAATCAATAAAAAATAAAAAAGTATTTTCAACATCCGTAAAATACATATTTTCAAAGTCTGTAAATTACGTCTTTTCAACTTCTGGAAAATACGTATTTTCAACATTCGGAAAATATGTATTTTCAACTTTAATTCAGAACCAAAAATTTACCTAATTTCAACGTCTGGAAAATAAAATCACATTTTATTTGTCACATGCGCCGAATACAACAGGTGTAGACCTTACCATGAAATGCTTACTTACAAGCCCTTAACCAACAATGCAGTTCAAGAAATAGAGTTAAGAAAATATTTACTAAATAAAATAAAGTAAAAAATTAAATAAAAAGTAACACAATAAAATAACGACGCTATATACATTTACATTTTAGTCATTTAACAGACACTCTTATCCAGAGCGACTTACAGTTAGTGAGAGTATAAATTTTCATACTGGCCCCCCGTGGGAATCGAACCCACAACCCTGGCGTTGCAAGCACCATGCTCTACCAACTGAGCTACACGGGGCCTACAGGGGGTACCGGTACCGAGTCCATGTGCAGGGGTACGGGTTAGTCGAGGTAATTTGTACATGTAGGTAGGGGTAAAGTGATTATGCATAGATAATAAACAGCGAGTAGTCCGGGTAGCCATTTGATTAATTGTTCAGCAGTCTTATGACTTGGCGGTAGAAGCTGTTAAGGAGCCTTTTGGAACTAGACATGGCGCTCCGGTACCGCTTGCCGTGCGGTAGCAGAGAGAACAGTCTATGACTTGGGTCTCTTTTCAACCTCATTTTGGTCACTGGGAGATCATATTTCCCTGCACTGTGATTATAGGCCTCTACAGCTTAGCACCTGCTCTCTAACATGTGTTGACTCACTGATCAGTCACCAGTTTGACATGTTATTCTGCACACCATTGTGAACATGGGGGAGTTATTCATGACACCTGTTGATTAATGACATTCACTGCAGAGCAAAGCACTGCCATAAAATATCACAGAGCATTTTGATTGTATGCATAAAACATTAAGGCACATATTTATTTTTAGGGCTTTAGCTGCTGAATTGCTTTATAGTCCTGTGTTTTGGCACTGTGTTTTACACATGAGAACAATCAACCATCTGTTTCGAGCTCTAAAGAAATAAGGAAGACGTTGTTATTATCATAGAGGCTATATATCTATTAAATAATCTCACACACACACACACACACAAGGGCCAGTAGGGGCCAGATGGCACCAGAACAGCCACTATGCATGAGGGCAGATGGACAGCGAGGGAGTGAGAGCTGTCATGTATAACCATGGTGAAACACAGACACTCAATAATGATCTCAACACAGGCTCAACGCCAAGTCAACCTCCGCTTTGGACTGCTAGTTGTTTTCCTTCCTCTTCCTCTCAACACATTGTGTCTGTTCATCTCTTTGGTGTCAAACTGCCCCCCTTTGCCTACAAGGCTATCTTCTGTGTGTCCACATGGCTCAGCTCTGCTGCTCATTCGTCTGCTGAGAATAAGGACTCTCCATGGGATGATTCTCCCAGGGGGGCAGGTGAGGTAGCTAAAGTCACTCAAAACAGCAGGAGAAAGCATTAAGCCACCAGACTGTCATCAAATGAGAAACTACATGTTGCTCATGCCTAGCTACTCCACATCCATCTTCATGGAAGTTACAACTTGTCATGAAAAATAGCCCCTTCAGGTCAGAGCAGACAGGGTCACTGAGGACACCAACAGGAGAAAAGAATAACAGTGAAAAGCATAATAGTGTTGTCCATGTTGGCTAGTCCCTCAGGCAAAAAAATATTGATGTTTCTCAATAGAAATTAAGTAGATAGTGTGACGACCCTCCCACTCTGTCTGCCGTATTCTCTCTTTGCTCTTGTTTCCTTATTAGGATGCCGGTGGGCGGAGTTGGGAGGGTCGTCAGCTACATGGGAAACACCTGGGCCGGGTGTGTCCCAGCATAAATGGACCTCTTCCACATTCATGAAGGGGGACTCTCTCCAGGCAGATACTTTGACTTTGGTTGTGGTATTTTTGTGGCTTTTTTGGTTGTTTGCTTTGGCACTTCTCAACACTTTTCCATATTACATTTATGCAAGCAAACACTCACTTACACTACTGATTACACACCCCATTGTTATTTCAGTTAGTTTACTTTAGTTAATAAATATATACTTTAAGTATTCCTTGTCTCCACGTGTCTCCCTTTTGTTACGAACTTGAGCCGGTTCGTGACAAGTGGGGGCTCGTCTGGGATCTTGAACTGGTTGTGTTTGGGAGAACGTGGAGTTAATGTCCAATTCTGTAGGTTTTTGTAGTAAATTTTGTTAGTTTGTTTGAGTTTGATAGGCCCAGTATTGGTTTCCTTTGGGTTGTGTACTGCGTTGGAGAGAGTACATTGGTTAGTTTCCAGTCCCTGCCCAGCCTGGAAACTCTTGCTCTACTCGCTGTTGGGGCATCGGTCTGAGGAGGTGAGTACAATCGGCTGTGTACCTCAGTGGGAGATTGGGTAGGGTAGTGACATTTTCTACCCGGAGTTATAGCTTTTTCCCCTGATAGGCTTAGTGACGTGTTCTGTTTTGGGATACGTTGGGCATGGTTAAATGTTTGTTATTTTTGTGTGGTGTCTGTGGACTGAGCAGTTGTCTCGGGGGCACATCCGTGGCTTGGTGGAATCTACCAGCGTGCTGGGGGGTTTAATTCCTTGCCAGCGGGCTACAGTGCGTAATTACCCACCGCGAATCCACACGAAGACTAGGGTTGAGTTATTGTAGGTTATGGGGAAGCTCCATATCCCAGCTCTCTTCTGTGGTGCTCGGTGTGATTGTCATTTCTCTTGTGTCTGGTGTGCTCAGCAGAGGGGTTGAGCAAGATTATTATGATATATATATATATATATTTTTTTTTTTCCTGATTATGGCGTCTAATGTAGACGAGTTCATTCGCTTTCCATCAGAAGAACTGTTGGAATTATGTACTAAAGAACAGCTGTTGAAAGTTGCTGAACACTACAAGGTTGAAATTAGTGATAAACGCCTAAAAAATTCTATTAGGTTAATATTGAAGGCCAATTTGATGGAGAGTGGTATTCTGGATGTTACCACTGGGGCAGCCTCTGCTGAGGACACATTGTCTCCCCGATATGTTACAATGACTGCTCCATCGGTTAGTCATAGTAGTCTTCTTTTTGAACAGCTGAAAGAACTGCTTCTGTTACAGCTAGAGCATGAACAAAATGGACAAAGAGCTAAAATGGAGCATGATCGTGTAAAATATGAAAGGGAATTGGAATTTAAACAGGATATGGAGCGTGCTAAAATCAAGCTGCAACAAGAGCGACTAGAGTTGGTTAGGGAAGGAAAGCTCTCACGGGAGAGTTTGCTCTGGGAAGGTGACCCAGAGTTACCTAGGGGTCGTTCCTCTTTTGGTCGTAATCCAGACACATTTGATATTGTTGGGAATTTACGGTTGTTGCCCCAGTTTAATGAAAAGGACCCGGAGACATTCTTTTCGTTGTTTGAGCGTGTTGCTGACGCTAGGAGTTGGCCTGATTCTGATCGCACTTTGATGTTGCAGTGTGTGCTGACTGGTAAAGCGCAAGAAGCATATTCAGCTCTTAGTGTAGCAGACAGTGTTAGTTATGAGAAGGTTAAAACGGCTGTGTTACAGAGTTATGAATTGGTCCCTGAGGCTTACCGCCAACGATTTAGAACTTTAAAAAGGGATGATCAGCAGACTCATGTTGAGTTTGCGCGAATATTATCTTCACAGTTCAATCGCTGGTGTTCTGCCTCTGCAGTTATGACTTTCCAAGGGCTGTGTGATTTGATTATGTTAGAACAATTTAAGGACACAATCCCTGATCGTATAGCGACGTACATTAACGAACGAAAAATAAAGACTGTCGCTGAAGCTGCGGTTTTGGCAGATGAATATGTGTTGACTCACAAAAATGTTTTTGCAGAACCCCGGATTCGGAGTGAGTGGGGGCGTTCGCAGAGATTTGGGCCTCGCTCGCCGAGATACTTCGGTTCCCGGGCAGAGTTTCATTCAACTAGGGTTGAGCCTGATACCCGTGGTAAAACTGACGTTGGTCAAGAGTGTCACTACTGTCAAGAATTAGGTCATTGGAAAAATGAATGTCCGATTCTTAGGTCTAGGGGTAAATTCAGTACAGGTGCTTATGGTAAATCGAGGCCTGCAGCGTTAGCAGCGCCTGTTCCACATCAATTCACTCCTGACGCATTGTCTCATGCCCAGAGCCAGGTGAAGGGTTATATTGATCCCGACTATTTACCTTTCGTTACGGAGGGTTTTGTGTCTATGGTAGGAAGTAAGAACCTAGTGCCAGTAAAGATCCTAAGAGACACAGGTGTCTCTGAATCATTTGTGTTGGAATCTGTGTTACCCTTCTCTGCGGAGACTGATTCGGGGAATAGTGTTCTAATTAGGGGAATAGGTTTGAACACTATGTCAGTTCCATTGCATAAACTGATGTTGGATTGTGGACTGGTGAAAGGTGAGGTTGTTGTGGGGGTGCGTCCTTCATTGCCTATTGAGGGTATTGACGTGATCCTTGGAAATAACTTGGCTGGGGAGCGTGTGTGGCCTATCGCGTTTCCATCTTTAGTGGTTTCCACTAAGCCGTCAATTGTAGGGATTCCTGATGAGAGTGCGCAGAATTTCCCAGAGGTGTTTTCTGCGTGTGCAGTGACGCGTTCTATGATCCATGACGACCTGGTCACGGAGCTGGCTAACGAGAATACTACAAAGAAGTCTGTTACTGTTTTCCCTGTTATCCCGTTATCTATATCCCGCTCCGATTTAATCGAGGCGCAACGGACTGACCCTACATTAGAAGAGTTGCGGGACCAAATTGTGCCTGTGGAACAGTTGGGAGATGTCGCACAGGGCTATTTTCTCCAAGAAGAGGTCCTGATGAGAAAGTGGATGTCTCATGGTAGTTGTTTTCTGGGGGAGGCGATTAGTCAGGTGGTGGTACCAGTTAAGCTTCGTGAGTTGGTGCTAACAACTTCTCACAATGACGTTGCTGGGCATATGGGTGTGAGAAAAACCTACAATCGTATATTACGACATTTCTTTTGGCCAAGATTAAAGAGGGATGTTTCTGATTTCATCAAAACTTGTCACACCTGTCAATTAACTGGTAAACCTAATCAAGCTATTAAGCCGGTACCACTGTTCCCTATTCCTGTACTCAGTAAACCTTTTGAGTATTTGATTATTGATTGTGTTGGTCCTCTGCCTCGTTCTAGGAAGGGTAGTAATTATTTGTTGACTGTGATGTGTCAGACCACTAGGTTTCCTGCTGCCTATCCTCTCCGGTCTATCACGACTAAGGCTGTGTTAAAAGCTTTGACTCAGTTTCTCTCACTGTTTGGAATTCCTAAGGTCATTCAAAGTGATCAAGGATCTAATTTCACCTCTAATCTCTTTGGTCAGGTTCTCCAACAACTCCATATTAAACACAACTTGTCTAGCGCCTATCATGCCCAAAGTCAAGGAGCACTGGAACGTTTCCATCAAACACTTAAGTCGTTGTTGAGAGCTTATTGTACTGAGATGGAAAAGGATTGGGAGGAGGGGTTGCTTTGGTTATTGTTAGCAGCTAGGGAGGTTTCACAGGAGAGCACGGGTTTTAGCCCAAATGACCTAGTGTTTGGACATCGGGTGCGTGGGCTTTTATCTGTTCTCCAGGATGACTGGAAGTCTCCCGAGCCTCCTCAGTCCCTGTTATCATATGTGGGTGATTTTCGGCGACGCTTGTATGCCGCTGGTGAAATGGCTAAAGAGAAGCTATCATCTTCACAGGACAGGATGAAGAGCATATATGATCGCCGAGCTGAGCCTCGTCACTTTAGTCCAGGTGATCAGGTTCTGGCTCTGCTGCCAATTGTTGGTTCTCCTTTTCAAGCCAAGTTTCAAGGTCCATATACAGTGGGGCGCCAGTACACTGAGCAAAATTATCTAGTTGCCACTCCAGAACGGAGGAAAGCAAACCAACTGTGCCATGTAAATTTGTTAAAACCCTATTATGCACGTTCCTCTGAGACTGAACAGGGGGAGTCTACAGAGGACGGTAAGGCTGTTCTTTTGGCTGATACTGTTTATTCCCTGAGTTCTGGTCATGCTAGGTCTGTGCAGGAGCAGGAAGATGTTTCTGGTCCTGACGATTGCATACTGCAGGGTAGATTGAATGTGAGTTTGCTCAGGCGACTGTTACATACCTTGGAAAGGTGGTTGGGCAGGATGAAGTGCGTCCTGTTCGGGCTAAAGTGGTAGCTATTGATGCTTTTCCACTACCAACTACTAAAAAGGAACTGATGCGTTTCTTGGGAATGATTGGGTATTATCGTGGTTTTTGTAGGAACTTCTCTACTGTGGTCGCTCCCTTGACAGTATTGATGTGACCGACCATTGTTTGATTTTGTCATGTTCTATCTTTCCTGTTTGTCCCTTCCTAGTCTTGGGTTCTTCTTTCCTCTTAAAGGTTGCTTCCTGTGTAAAGGTTGCTGAGGTCTGGAGAGGAGGATGATGGGTGGGGCAAGTGGAGGTGTGAACATGTACAATTTGTCGGTTTGGGACGCAGGGGCTGGTACGTTGGTCCGGGGTCCTTGTTGGTCCCCGGTCTTATGGGGGGGGGGGGGGGGGGGGGTGTGACGACCCTCCCACTCTGTCTGCCGTATTCTCTCTTTGCTCTTGTTTCCTTATTAGGATGCCGGTGGGCGGAGTTGGGAGGGTCGTCAGCTACATGGGAAACACCTGGGCCGGGTGTGTCCCAGCATAAATGGACCTCTTCCACATTCATGAAGGGGGACTCTCTCCAGGCAGATACTTTGACTTTGGTTGTGGTATTTTTGTGGCTTTTTTGGTTGTTTGCTTTGGCACTTCTCAACACTTTTCCATATTACATTTATGCAAGCAAACACTCACTTACACTACTGATTACTGATTACACACCCCATTGTTATTTCAGTTAGTTTACTTTAGTTAATAAATATATACTTTAAGTATTCCTTGTCTCCACGTGTCTCCCTTTTGTTACGAACTTGAGCCGGTTCGTGACAATAGAATATACAGCCAATCTACAGCTACTGATAAACATTATGACAGACAGGATAGGGCCTGTGAGTTGACTGAGACAGTTACCTGCTGGGAGTCTCCCTCTGTGTATGGCAGCTTGGTGGACACGTGGAACATGATCTCCTTGTTGTGAAAGTTAGTGTAGACCGACTCTGTTCCTGTCTGGCCATGGGTGATGTCCAGTCCTCCTCTGAACCTGCAGAGACAGAGTGTGAACCAGACCGTTACAGCGGCAGCACAGGTCGTCTCAGTCTCAGTGCAACCAGACAGCCCATCCACACCACCCTGTCTCATCAATCATGCAGTGAATGTGAAAGGCAGTTATTCCCTTCCACTCAATCGTAATGTCAGTACCACTAAGAATATTATATTGCTCTAAATTGAGAGAATAAGAGAAGAACTACGGTAATAAACATATATTTTATTATCTCCAGGGCTGAACGACTGCAGTGTCATCATCCAGGGAGTCACGTCAAAGTCAATTGTAATCGATAAGAGACATGACCTGTCACGATCGTCAAAAGGAGCGGACCAAGGCGCAGCGTGATATGAGTACATACTTTATTATAATTCACCACACGAACAAAAACAACAAAACGATACGTGAAGTCCTCGGTAACATACACAAACCTACACGGAACAAGATCCCACAAAAGACAATTGCACAATAGGCTGCCTAAGTATGGTTCCCAATCAGAGACAACAAGCAACAGCTGATTCACGTTGCCTCTGATTGAGAACCACCCCGGCCAACATAGAAACACATAAACTAGATCGTGAACATAGAACACAACACATAGACACTACACACCCTGGCTCAACATAAAAGAGTCCCTAGAGCCAGGGCGTGACAGTACCCCCCCCCCCCCCCCCAAAGGCGCGGACTGCGACCGCGCCAACATAAACCCAACAGGGGAGGGGCCGGGTGGGCATTCCTCCTCGGAGGCGGATCCGGCTCCAGGCGTGACCACCACCCTCTAACAACCCCCCTGTAGCGACCCTGGTCTGGTCCCACTGGCTGGAGCTGGACTGGACATCGGTGGAGCGGATTGCTTAGGCTCCGGTGTGGAGCAGCTGACCGGTACCTGACCAGGCACGGGCTGTGCCGGACTGACGACGCGCACCACAGGCTTGGTGCGGGGGGCAGGAATGGGCCGGACCGGGCTGACGACGCGCACCACTAGCTTGGTGCGGGGAGCAGGAATGGGCCGGACCGGGCTAACGATGCGCACCACAGGCTTGGTGCGGGGAGCAGGAACGGGCCGGACCGGGCTGACGACGCGCACCACTGGCTTGGTGCGGGGAGCAGGAACGGGCCGGACCGGGCTGACGACGCGCACCACAGGCTTGGTGCGGGGAGCAGGAACAGGCCGGACCGGGCTGGCGACGCGCACCACTGGCTTGGTGCGAGGGGCAGGAACAGGCCAGGCCGGGCCGAGCTGGCGACGCGCACCATTGGCTTGGTGCGAGGGGCAGGAACAGGCCGGGCCGGGTTGGCGACGCGCACCATTGGCTTGGTGCGAGGGGCAGGAACAGGCCGGGCCGGGCTGGCGACGCGCACCATTGGCTTGGTGCGAGGGGCAGGAACAGGCCGGGCCGGGCTGGCGACGCGCACCATTGGTTTGGTGCGAGGGGCAGGAACAGGCCGGGCCGGGCTGGCGACGTGCATCACAGGCTTTTTTTAAATTTTTTAATTTCACCTTTATTTAACCAGGTAAACCAGTTGAGAACAAGTTCTCATTTACAACTGCGACCTGGCCAAGATAAAGCAAAGCAGTGCGATAAAAACAACAACACAGAGTTACATATGGGGTAAAACAAAACAAAGTCAAAAATACAACAGAAATACATATAATATACAGTGTGCAAATTTAGCAAGTTATGGAGGTAAGGCAATAAAATAGGCTATAGTGCAAAATAATTACAATTTAGTATTAACACTGGAATGATGTGCAAGAGATGATGTGCAAATAGAGATACTGGGGTACAAATGAGCAAAATAAATAACAATATAGGGATGAGGTAGTTGGGCGGGCTAATTTCAGATGGGCTGTGTACAGGTGCAGTGATCGGTAAGGTGCTCTGACAACTGATGCTTAAAGTTAGTGAGGGAGATAAGTGTCTCCAGCTTCAGAGATTTTTGCAATTTGTTCCAGTCATTGGCAGCAGAGAACTGGAAGGAATTGCGGCCAAAGGAGGTGTTGGCTTTGGGGATGACCAGTGAGATATACCCGCTGGAGCGCAGACTACGGGTGGGTGTTGCTATGGTGACCAATGAGCTAAGATAAGGCGGGGATTTGCCTAGCAGTGATTTATAGATGGCCTGGAGCCAGTGGGTTTGGCGACGAATATGTAGTGAGGACCAGCCAACAAGAGCGTACAGGTCACAGTGGTGGGTATTATATGGGGCTTTGGAGACAAAACGGATGGCACTGTGATAGACAACATCCAATTTGCTGAGTAGAGTGTTGGAGGCTATTTTGTAAATGACATCGCCGAAGTCAAGGATCGGTAGGATAGTCAGTTTTACGAGGGCATGTTTGGCAGCATGAGTGAAGGAGGCTTTGTTGCGAAATAGGAAACCGATTCTAGATTTAACTTTGGATTGGAGATTCTTAATGTGAGTCTGGAAGGAGAGTTTACAGTCTAACCAGACACCTAGATATTTGTAGTTGTCCACATACTCTAGGTCAGACCCGTCTAGAGTAGTGATTCTAGTCGGGTGGGCGGGTGCAAGCAGCGTTCGGTTGAAGAGCATGCATTTAGTTTTACTAGTGTTTAAGAGCAGTTGGAGGCTACTGAAGGAGTGTTGTATGGAATTGAAGCTCGTTTGGAGGTTTGTTAACACAGTGTCCAATGAAGGGCCAGATGTATACAAAATGGTGTCGCTTGGTGCGAGGGACAGGAACAGGCCGGACCGCACTGGGAACACACACCACTGGCCTTATACGGGGATCAGGAACGGATCAGGAACGGGCCGGACCGGACTGGTAACACACTTCAGTACCTCTCGCCGTGCCTCTACACTTTCCTTCCCTCTAATGACCAATGGCCCCTGTAACCTGGTGGCCTTCTCTCCATGTCCACAAACTCGCCCTTTATCTGCCTCCAGCAGCCCCATCGTCCATGCCATGTGCCCCCCCAATTTTTTTTATTGGGGGTGCCTCTCGCCTGTCCGACGACGACCCGGTTGGCGCCGCTTCTCCTCTCCTGCCTGGGTCTCCCCTTTCATCGCCCTCCGGTAACGGACGGCCTCCTCCTCTGTAATCTGCCCCCAACCGAGGAGGACATCCACTAACGTTACCTCCTGCGTGTGCTCCTGGACACGCTGCTTGTTCCAGTATTGGTGGGATCTTCTGTCACGATCGTCAAAAGGAGCGGACCAAGGCGCAGCGTGATATGAGTACATACTTTATTATAATTCACCACACGAACAAAAACAACAAAACGATACGTGAAGTCCTCGGTAACATACACAAACCTACACGGAACAAGATCCCACAAAAGACAATTGCACAATAGGCTGCCTAAGTATGGTTCCCAATCAGAGACAACAAGCAACAGCTGATTCACGTTGCCTGTGATTGAGAACCACCCCGGCCAACATAGAAATACATAAACTAGATCGTGAACATAGAACACAACACATAGACACTACACACCCTGGCTCAACATAAAAGAGTCCCTAGAGCCAGGCCGTGACATGACCAGTCCATCATCTGCCATGTCAATACCATTCTAAGGCCATTCTTACCCTTTAAAGTCATGGAGCTCAATCTTGTCCCCCAGAAACTCCAAGAACTCTACAAAAGCAGGACTCTCGTCGCTGTTCCCAAATAGCTCCTCCTCAGTGGTCTGCAGGGAGAAATACAAGGCCGTGAAGAGGAAGTAAGACATCTGAACTCAACAGGAAAACGATCAGGCCTCCTCTGAGTTCCACAGGAGGAAACACAGCAAATCCTCTTAGTTTGGGGAGGGAGAAGCTCAAACTCCTTTACTCTATTAAGAGTGAATTAGCTGGCATGCAATGATGAGCAGGAAGTAGCACAGTCATAATAATACACCAAATACAGGACGCCACCAACTGTTATAAATACATTATATATGACTTTATATGATTTTACTACCACAGGCTATATACCACTCACCTGGCCAAACTTCTGATAAATGACTCCAAACTTGAAGTTGTTGCTGATGACATGCTCATCAAAGTTGACAATGAGCCTTGAGGCCTGGAAAATGATAGTACATTCAGCAGAGTCAAGGGGATGGTGACTACCCTCTTAGAAAAAAGGGTTCCCTCCATGGAAAGGGTTCCACATGGAACCAAAAAGGGTTCTACCTGGAACCAAAAGGGTTGTACCTAGTACCAAAAAGGGTTCTACAAAGGGGTTATCCTATGGGGATAGCCGAAGAACCCTTTTAGGTTCTAGATAGCACCTTTTTTTCTAATAGTGTAGCATCAATGTAAAGCAGTGAGGGGGGAACATAAATAGTTGAGAAATAAAACATTAATACAGCAATAAATGCTCCTTGCTGGACCATATTATTACTGTATAATAAACGAGTAATAAAATAGTTAGCTACTCCATTGTAAATGTCAAGATGAATACAGAGCCTACCTTTGGGTAGAGGACCGGGTAAAATCTGTCCACGTTTACCTCTTCAAACACCAGCTGCAAAATAAAAAAGTACTTAACACTTTTCCTCCTGCCATTGCAACTTTATACAATAACTTTTGTTTCAACTCCACATGTAGGAAGTCCCTTTCCATGTCCTCTGGGCTCTGTCATCCTACCTTGGCCATCTGGACCACGTTGGGGAACTCAGTCAGGCAGGAGATAGGAATCACATCATGGTGGGTTTTTAATTTGGTCCTAAAAGACAAAATGTTGGAACAGTCACATATATATTCACCATTCTGTCTCTAGAGAGGGGATTATCTATGTTTTCCATGTCAAGACCCTTCAACACTTTGGTGCCATTTCAAATGTTTTTCCTTCCCATTTTGTTGCCATCCCTGCTGATGCAAATGTCATGCAGAACTATTGTAGAGAATCTTCCCTTTGATGCTGTGGAGAGACAATGGTGATTTACATAGCAAGCCTTGCCACAGCCAACTATGAGCAACACAAACTGTTCACACCTGCACTGTAAAAAAACATTCAGGTGGTTAGTAAATTATACTTGCCATAAAAACATTTACTTGAATATAATTAGTACTTTACTCTACTTCACTTGTTCAACCAACCTGAAATAAAAATAAATGAATTCAACATAAGATAAATGAATAATATAAACAACTATTTGTGTGTAAAAACAACTATAAGGATAATATATCATAATATTTCCTTATATCTTAAGAATTTTAAGTTCTTCCAACAACTTGCCATGTGGCTCTGTTTAAGTAAGATCATGCGAGCCACTTTTGAAAGAGGCAAATATATCAAGCTACACTGCTTGCAGCTTTACCTCCAGTTTGTGCTAGTGGAATGAGAACTGTGCCCAACAATCCTGCTATAGTGGACAAAAATGTCAAGTGATGAAATACATAAAGCCATGTTTAACACTAAGACACAATCAATGAAAGTAACTCATCAGAAAGATTAAGTAGATCTAATGTACAATAACAGTTCTGGATTTGATAAAATTAAGTTGGATCTTAGCAATTTTTTTATGCTGGACATAATATATTAGTGTTTGTGAAACACTAAAAGTTAAGTATATTATACGTAAAAATACAACATGTTGGAAAGACTCAAAAAGCTGAGGTAAATAGTTGCCTCAATTTTTTTTTTAATGGAACTAGCACAATATGTTTTTATAGTGTGCTGTCTTTGCAGTGACAGCACAGCAGGCACACGAACCTACTGTAGATTCCTATGTACTCTCAGCCAGCAATTCACCACCTGCAAGCACACTTACTATCTAACACCCCAATTTTAAGACTCAGCCATACACCACCTGCAAACTGAGCACACTAACTAACACAACTACTCTCAGCCATACACCACCTGCAAACTCAGGCCACATTGGAACAGAGAGCCCTGTCTCAATATTATCTGTCTTTATGGGTCATTTCTCAGTATGGCCCTTGAGCCAGCTCAGTGAATGTTGGTATTTGACGTAACTGAGGTGGTGACTGTACCAGATGCATGGAAACTGCCCACCTGATCATCAGACAGCATGTGGGTTACCCGCTCGCCAGCTCTTTCTTCCATCAAGCGGGAGGGGGAAAAACAGTCACTACAGCTGGTGTCCTCTCTCTAATGTCGTAAAATTCATTCACAGCTTTTATTGAGCGTTTAGTGCTGCCCTTCTCCTTGTTACTTTATCATTAGATAAAGATTGCGCCGACAGACATGGCAGCTCTGCTTCTAGCTCCTAAGCAACTTTGCAGTATTTTGTTTTTTTGTGTGTTATTTCTTACATTATTAGTCCAGATTGTTTTTTGTGTTATTACATACAGCCGGAAATAACTTTTGGATATCAGAGTGGCGGTAACTCACCAGCATTACGACCAGGAATACGACTTTCCCAAATTGGATCCTTTGTTCGTACCCCCCAGGGCAATTGAACTTATCCCAGAGGTTGCTCCAAATGCCGACCGTATTACCTCCCAAGAGAATTCTCTTTGGATATAGTCACAGCCGTGTATATTCCCCCTCAAACCAATACCACGACGGCCCTCAAGGAACTACACTGGAATTGATGCAAACTGGAAACCACATATCCTGAGGCCGCATTTATTGTAGCTGGGGATTTTAAGAAAGCAAATTTGAATAAAATGCTACCGATGTTCTATCAACACATTGACTGTAGTACTCGCTCTGGTAAAACACTTGATCACTGCTACTCCCCCTTTTGAAAAGCATACAAGGCCCTCCCCCGCCCTCCCTTCAGCAAATCAGATCACAACTCCATTTTGCTCCTCCCTTCCTACAGGCAGAAACTCAAACAGGAAGTACACGTGCTAAGGTCTAGTCAACGCTGGTCTGACCAATCGGAATCCATGCTTCAAGATTGTTTTGATCACACGGACTGGGATATGTTCCGGGTATCCTCTGAGAATAACATTGATGTATACACGGACATGGTGACTGTGTTCATCAAGAAGTGTATAGGGGATGTTGTTCCCACTATGACTATTAAAACCTACCCAAACCAGAAACCGAGGATACAGTTGAAGTCGGAAGTTTACATACACTTAGGTTGGAGTCATTTAAACTTGTTTTTCAACAACTCCACAAATGTCTTATTAACAAACTATAGTTTTGGCAAGTAGGTTAGGACATCTACTTTGTGCATGACACAAGTAATATTTCCAACAATTGTTTACAGACAGATTATTTCACTTATAATCACTGTATCACAATTCCAGTGGGTCAGAAGTTTACATACACTAAGTTGACTGTGCCTTTAAACAGCTTGGAAAATTCCAGAAAATGATGTCATGGCTTTAGAAGCTTCTGATAGGCTAATTGACATCATTTGTCAAAGTGTGACGTGAATGCGGTAGGCGAAGTCAAACGCAGGACACCGAGCTACTGGAAACGTACTTTTACTAACAAAGTAACCAGAGTACAAAAACAACCTCCAAACAGGGAGGAGAATACCCGCACAATAGCAACTGCCGAAAATGACGAGAACAATCACACACAACACACAATGAACGACAGAGGGTTATATAGGGAATACAATACAACATAATAGGAAACAGGTGTACACAATCAAGACAAAACAAGTCAAACACAGAAACATAGATCGGTAGCAGCTAGTACTCCGGGGACGACGAACGCCGAAGCCTGCCCAAGCAAGGAGGAGGAGCAGCCTCGGCTGATTCCGTGACTGTACCCCCCCCCCCCCCCCCCCCCCCCCCCCCCCCCTTGACGCGCGGCCCCAGCCGTGTGCCGACCCCGGCCTCGGGGACGGCCAGGAGGACGCGGAGCAGGGCGAGTCGGATGACTCCGGTGGAAGTCCCTCAACATGGAGGGATCTAGGATGTCCCTCCTGGGGACCCAGCACCGTTCCTCCGGACCGTACCCCTCCCACTCCACGAGATACTGCAGGCCCCCCGTCCGACGCCTCGAATCCAAGATGGAATGGACTGAGTACGCCGCAGCCCCCTCAATGTCCAACGGGGGCGGAGGAGCCTCTCGTACCTCACTCTCCTGGAGTGGACCACCACCACCGGCCTGAAGAGAGACACATGGAACGAGGGGTTAATGCGGTAATTAATGGGCAGTTGTAACCTATAGCATACCTCGTTCAGTCTCCTCAGGACTTTAAATGGCCCCACAAACCGCCGACCCAGCTTCCGGCAGGGCAGGCGAAGGGGCAGGTTTCGGGTCGAGAGCCAGACCCGATCTCCCGGTGCATACACCGGAGCCTCACTGCGGTGGCGATCGGCGCTTGCCTTTTGCCGCCTGATAGCCCGCTGCAGATGGATATGCGCAGCGTTCCAAGTTTCTTCCGAGCGCCGAAACCACTCGTCCACCTCAGGGGCTTCGGTCTGGCTCTGATGCCAAGGTGCCAGGACCGGCTGATAACCTAGCACACACTGGAAAGCCGTAAGGTTAGTGGACGAATGGCGGAGTGAGGTTTGGGCTATCTCTGCCCAGGGAATATATCCCGACCACTCCTCTTGCCGGTCCTGGCAATACGACCTCAGAAACCTACCCACATCCTGGTTCACTCTCTCCACCTGCCTATTACTCTCAGGGTGAAAACCTGAGGTAAGGCTAATTGAGACCCCAGACGTTCCATAAACGCCCTCCAGACTCTAGAGGTGAACTGGGGACCCCGATCAGACACTATATCCTCAGGCACCCCATAGTGCCGGAAGACGTGTGTAAACAGGGCCTCAGCAGTTTGTAGGGCAGTAGGGAGACCTGGCAGGGGAATGAGACGGCAGGCTTTAGAAAACCGATCCACAACGACCAAGATCGTAGTGTTCCCCTGGGAGGGGGGAAGGTCCGTGACAAAATCCACCGATAGGTGAGACCACGGCCGTTGTGGAATGGGTAGGGGTTGTAACTTCCCCCTGGGCAGGTGTCTAGGCGCCTTACACTGAGCGCACACAGAGCAGGAGGAAACATAAACCCTCACGTCCTTCGCTAAAGTAGGCCACCAGTACTTCCCACTAAGGCAGTGCACTGTCCGACCAATACCCGGATGACCAGAGGAGGGTGACGTGTGAGCCCAGTATATCAAACAATTGCGAACCTCGAGCGGCACGTACTTCCGACCCTCTGGACACTGTGGAGGAGTAGGATCGGAACGTAACGCCCGCTCGATTTCCGCATCAACCTCCCACACCACCGGTGCCACCAGACAAGACTCCGGGAGTATGGGAGTGGGCTCAATGGACCTCTCCTCTGTGTCATATAGTCGGGACAGGGCGTCTGCCTTAGCGTTCTGGGACCCTGGTCTATAGGTGAGCTTAAATACAAAGCGGGAGAAAAACATAGCCCACCTTGCCTGGCGAGGGTTCAGCCTCCTCGCTGCCCGAATGTACTCCAGGTTACGATGGTCAGTCAGAATGAGAAAAGGGTGTTTAGCCCCCTCAAGCCAATGTCTCCACACCTTCAGGGCTTGAACCACAACTAGCAGCTCCCTGTCCCCCACGTCATAATTGCGCTCCGCCGGACTGAGCTTCTTAGAATAGAAAGCACAGGGGCGGAGTTTAGGTGGCGTACCCGAGCGCTGAGACAGCACAGCGCCGATCCCAGCCTCGGAAGCATCCACCTCCACCTGGAATGCTAAAGAGGGATCCGGATGCGCCAGTACCGGAGCCGAGGTAAACAGGTCCTTCAGACGTTTAAACACCCTGTCCGCCTCAGCTGACCACTGCAGGCGCACCGGACCCCCCTTTAGC